TTTCGGTGTCATCATAGTGACTGCGTGAATTGAAGAATACAAAGCCAATTCTTATGATCTTTTGAATTCCACAAATAAAATTCACGTAACCAACACCTAAATTGAACAAAATCAAAATTCAATGACAAGAACTCAATGATTTGGCGTGAGGTGACAATATTTTAAGTGCTCTCCGACTCAGAATGTCACCCTAACTTCATTTCCAGATCCTAAAACATTATATAATTCTCGTAAATTATATGCACACACACCACACACACCACACACACCACACACACCACACACACACACACATACATATTATACCCACAGATATATATATATACACACATATATATATACACTCATATACACAGACACACCCATATGCACAGACACACCTATGTGTTATGTGTGCACACACAAACAGACACACACACACACACATACATGCACATCATCTTTCCTTGACAGACAGACAGCAGAAAATCCACATGGCCAACATGAACAGACAGACAGACACACAGACCCCAGGGACAGACAGACACACACCACTCCAAATGAGCAAGTCACTAATATGACACACAACGGTACACACACACGCGCGCGTACACACCGTAGACAGACACATACATATGACACATGTACACACACACACACACACATACCCTGAAACCAAACTTGCAAAGATGTACATAATGATCGGCTTATAAGAATTGGCATATACATGCAGACAGACAGACACACACACATATATACACAGACAAATATTACGTACACACAGACATATATAGTAGGACACACACACATACACGTACGCCGTACGCACTCACACATACACACATGAAAGCAGACACACAAACACACACACATGCAAACATACATATACACGCACACACACACACACACACACGTTACATCGATAGATTGCACAGACCCAGACAGACGACCACATTCACACCTGGGGATAAATGCACAGACAGGCACATGTGCACACACACACACACACACACAATTCATACCTATAAAATATGATCGATTCAGGGATGTTTTCAGGGATTTTTCCTGGATCAAATTGAAAATGAGAAGAAAATTTTGAATGAATAATATAGCATCACTGAATTAATGTCAACTTGATTGTGACAATTGGTAGAAGAGAATTGTAAAGTCAGTTATAAAATTTATTATGTTTCATTTTAAATAAGACTAACACTCTATCAATTGTGAATTTGATATATGAGAAGGAATAAAAATCAAATTAAATTTCTTTTTAGACTTATAAATTTTAGTCATTTAATAATGACATAATTCATCAGCAATACAATTAGTTAATCGATCGATCGATCGATCAATTAAATAGATCAAAAGCATGGGCAAATAATTACCCTAGAAACTGTCCGTTGTGTCAAGATTGATCACACACTTATTTCCCGGGTAAATAATTTCGGGATAAAATGCAATGAAATCGCTCGTTAAACTACATCAATCAGCTCGCTCGTTTGAAATACCACTTAGCTACATTTCCCTTTCAGTTTAAATTTTTGAAATACTATAAAAGTTAATAGATCATCATTCACGATCACGTAATATGTCAACGTTCGTTGCTTGTGTCACGTGACGTACAGGGAAGTTTACTTTAAGGATGATGAATGACGATAAGGTTTTGCAACTATTGAGGATATTAAATTTGATTAGTTAATTTTATATTTTAAGTAACTCATAAGAATTCCTTTGGTTAGAATGAAAAAATAAAGTAATTAATGATAAGTGATAAATTCATTTGATTTCTATTTATTCATTTAATTTCCTATCTGAAAAAAAAAAAAAAAAATGAATAAATGATGAATGAAATGAAGTAAAAGTGATGATAAAAGTTGAAAGATAAATAATCTGCAGTGTTCACATTAAAGTAAACTTAAACAATTTTATCCATTTCACGTTGATATTTATTTATTTATTGTTTGCAGCAAATATTGATTGATGATAAAATGCGCTGAAATAATTGATAAGACTATGAGAATAGATCAAATCAGATAAGCTTCACTTTATCAGTACTAAATTTACTTTATCAATAATTTGTAATGCTTACATCTAGTAAAGTTAGATAATTTGAAATGATGATTGCAAAGAGAGATTTCATGTTTTAGAAGCAATTGACAACTTTTTTCTCTCAAAATTATCTCTGAACGGCATCTGTTTTAACGTAACTTTAACGTGAAAATCATTTAAAATGATTCATTGATAGAAGAGCATAATTTTTTGATGTGATTTATCAAAATGATACAAAATGTTACTTTTTAACTAAAATTATTGTTTTTTAAATAATTATCAGTTTTTATTTTGTCACTATCGATGTTAGAGCGTTCTTTTTTGTTTTGTAAAAGTTTGAAAATGATACATCAATCATCACTGGCATTAAATTAACTTTATCAGTAGTAGTGATGTTTACTGAGTTGACTTCCCTTTCACGTTGACATTTATTATGCGTTTTCCAAATGCATAGATAGAATGTTTATTTTTATTTTACCACAAGAAGCAATTCATTAAATGGAAATAGCAGATGTTATAACAGTGTAAAATTTGTATATTAAATACAATTTCTCATAATTTATTAATTTATGAGATTAAAGAGAACTTTATCATAATTTCAAAATAGTTGCAACAAAAATACATCCATTCAGGTTAATCCAGTTGTTCAAATTTTGAAAGAATCCAATAAGTGCATATTTGTCATTTTAGTATATCAAATGCATTATTCCCTTAAACAATTGAAAACAGCAAATGATAAAACCATTGATATTATCATTGACTATATTACAGGACAAATATTTTGCTCGTTAGCCACTATAAAACATTTATAAAACAGAAAAATCAGAAAACTAATTTAAACTTTTCGAAAAAAAAAGGATAAACTTCAGTGCTCAGGTTAATCCACGATCACATTTGAATTTTAAACCGATGAAATTTCATTTCTAAAGAAAAAAAAAAAAGCTATTAAATCATTATCACAGATGCATATAGAACCTGATTGATTTGAGCATCAAAATTTTTCAGAAGCTTTTATCGTAACATTGAAACTATCATAAATATTCAATTCTTATAAAATTTTATATTGATTTCACTTCATTCCAAAAATGCTAAAATAAATGTTTTTACATGATATAGTACATTAGCTTCGTAAATTTACCATAACATATGGCAATAATTTCTACATTTATAAAAAATAATTTTTATGAATTTTGAGTATATCGATACCAGTATATTCAATTAATGCAATATAGCAGTATATTCAATTAATGCAATATGCAATATAGCACTTGATAATTTGGTAAAATCAACGAAGTAGAAAAAGATAAGGTTGCCTAATTTTTAATCGTTTCATTTTTAATAAGCGCTTAATGTCATTTACTTATATTGTAATGTTTTAAAAACTTACATCATTTTACAACGTCGCCTGCCAAAATCCTTATTCCTTCTTGTCATTTTGACATTTTACCCAAGAGCTTAAAAACGTGAATATTAATTTCGCAATTTGTCTGACTGTAACACTTGTAACTTCATTCGATACACAGAATAGAAAGTTACAGAAAATTCTAGATTATTTCAGAAAAGATAAACTTCATTAATTAGAGCAGTTCATGTTCGTAATTTTCTATTAGTTGTTAATGTTTAATGAAAATATTTCTCGAAAGAATTTGAAAAAGTATTCATTCTTTGTCCACAAAATAAACAACTCCTTCATGACCTTCGCCTCAACCTGCTATAGCTGATACTTGTTTCTTGAAAAAAATATAACTCGAGAAAATGAATATCATACTAGCAGTTCTCACCTGAGAAAAAAACTATTATGCGGAAAGTTTAATAACCTTACTCAACAACATGGTACCGCTTGTCTACCAGCAGCATAACCCACAGAGATTATATGAGACTCAAGAATGGTATGTTTAAGTGATCCCAGCTAATTTTGAGGCCCGTTAAATTTGAGCAACTTCTTTTGTAAAATATTGGTCAACAAGTAATTTATTTAAAAAAATACATCAATTTAGACCAATACATAGAAAAATGAAGGAACTAAGCGATAATAAAGAAAATAAAAAACATCACTAATGTGGGCATATTTCATTTCATTTTTCGAATAATAATGACATTAGGCATGTCACGTGTGTCAAACACGCTCAAATAAAATAGTGTACGGAATTTCTTTGCTTTTGAAATACTTTTTTCTTCTTTCCAATAAATACGCTTTTTGCCAAATGCTCGTCAATAAGAAGATTGCTGTAGACACTTTGATCGGGACTTCACACCAATTTTCACTAAAAAAGCTCCCGAACAGTCTACAGTATGATAGCCCCATCGTGATGAGAAATTTTCACGAGAATTGCTCCCGTTTCTGAACAACAAATATAACAAAAAAACATATTACGCAATCTGAATAAATTTTAAACAATATAGATTAAAAAACAAAAAAAAAAAAAAAAAAAGAAAAAAAGAAAAACTAGGAAAACCGCAATTAAATTTCAGACCGAAACACAAATTATCCCGTGTAAAATTAAAATTTAGGAAATTGCATACTACAGACTCGAAATCTCTACATCCGCTCGGAATTAGATGAAGACAAGATGGTATAATCTCAGAAACTGGAAGAACCAGGCAGATGATTTAATAACGTTAGCATACAATTCATCCCAACCATCATAATACAATGATTTTAAAGAATGAAAAATTATATCAGCAGTGCACTGGAAGTCTGTCAAAAACAATAAAATTTTGGGGATAAACTGGGATAGAAAATTTAAAGAAAAAATTTGAATCAGAAAAAAATCACCTAAAAAATCACAAGACTTCACGCCAGTATCTTTTGTCATTATATAATCAATACAGCTAAAAAAAAAAAAAAAAAAACAGCATAACCTATGTCATTGTGTATAACTGAGAATATGTAGTATGTATATATGTATATATTTTTTTCATATCATTTTGTCAGAGCTTATCATAATTGGAGCTTATCATAACAACAGCATTCAAGCCACTTTCTTTTCTTCACCCTTTGCATCATCCTTCTTGTCTTTCTTCATATCTGAAATGGATGGAATAACCGTACAAAATTATCTATGCTTCCGTTCCAGTTAAGCGTGAAATTTACTTCCTCTTCCATGTCAACTGAGACCCAGATGGTTTTACAATAAAATATTTTTACAAAAGGTATGATCGCGAAGCACGACGAAGGGTGCAGAAATTTAAATGTTTCTTTTCCATTACATGACTTTTTTGCAAAGTTTCTCAAAAATTTGAATAGCATTCATAAAATCTGCTTTGATTACAGCTGCTTGAATACTGCTTGTGTCATTATGTAAAAAAGGCCCAGTTCTCCATTCTAAGTAAACAAATTTAGAGCCGTCCAGGACTGTTTTCAAGTTCATTTTTATATCTTACTTTCAAATAATCACTTGAAAATTTCAAAATATTTAAAACTTGATTGACTGCCTGGTCTGCTTTGTGTGCAAATACGTAACAAACTATAAAAAGAGCGAAAAGTCCTCATCCTAAATGAACAATAAAAAAAAATTCAATTAATTCACATTTGCAGAAAGTATATACTAGTCTTTTGATGCACATTACGAGGCAGAAAGAACACAAAACTTCCGTTGTTAGAAAAACAAATCTGTAATGAAAATATTAGCTATTTTCAAATGCCCAAGTATGAAGTTCAAATGACCAAAATAAACATCAAAGCTTATAGATCATATTTCGATGTTCACATTATTCATCTTTTTTCCGTCCTTATTAATATTAAACATCTACAGGGAAAGTAGAGTAAGCAGTTTCAGTTCCACAACAATACCCACAGAGGAAAGGCTATCAAATTCAATAAAAACAATAACTTCCTAGAGAAGTCACCGGATAAAATTATAAATATATATATCCTTAATTGAATGCACATGTGTAACCAGAGTACATTTTTACGAGAAGGAAGTACCACAGGTTATGACTACTAACTTCAAAACCTGGACATCTAAGCCGCACAAACAATGCACTTCGCAAAGCCCCTGTATAACATTTATTGAAATAACATGCTGATAAAGCAGTACTCAAAAAGCAACTTTTTTTCCTTGCTCACCTAAGTAGAAAATGTTTTGGAATGATTAATAAGACTTTAAGACTTATTTTCCTCCCATCCACTCTCCATCTCAGAAAAAATTGGAAACATGGAATTTCCTAAATTCGAACTGGATTTCAAGAGAGAATAATTCATTGATCTGATTGTGCTTTTTGTGTCACATTTTCTGGAACAAACCTGAAATAAAGTAAGTCCCATGTAATGCACAACGAAAAACAAAATGATCAACATAACTACTAGCACCACGATAGCAACATAAAGCAAAGTAACCCAAAGATTTCCCAAAATAACTGAATCGTAGAAAGAAGAACCAGACTAGGTTTAAAAGTATGACGAAACCCAAGTGATATTTTTCACAGAACTGGAAGTTGCAACATCTGCACTTCTCTATATCTAAACAACCACTTGAATGGAGATTATTTGACTGAAAAAACTCCAGAGGTCTCAAAAATAGGTTCCATTTAAATTTTGAAAACTAAAACGAATTATGGAAACGTAAAATTTTGACCAGTAATAGAATTGTTGTCTAAACAAAAAGCGAAGTCCTCCCAGAAATTCTACCACTGCTGCATTATTGTGATAAATTCAAATCTTAGCGCATGAGATAACAATAATCTTGAATGAAAAATCATATAGCTCATCAAAATCATCTTTAACCTGTCAAACAGGCGCATTATAAAAATACGTACTTCCCACAACATATGCGCTTTCCCTAGAGCTTAGTTAAAATTAACATAAAATACCAAATTAAAAACTGATTAGCAAAAAATGTATTTAGAAAAAAAAAAAAAATATTCGTCGGAAATGCAGTGAAATTATAGGCACAAGAAAGTCAAAAGAAAGAAAAGTAGCACAGAAGTGACGTGCTACGTAACAGAATTTAGGGAAGAATACGCTTTTTTACAGAAAAAAAAAGCATGAACGAAAAAAAAAAATGTAAAGGCTTTTTTGGGAAATTATGGAACAATAAACAGTAGAAGATCCACGGAAAGCAGTAATATGCAACTTATATGACTTTTTGTTCTCTTCGATATAGAAAGAGCTGTAACAAGAGTAGTTCATGATCTAGAACCAAACACAAGTGTCCTTTTTTAAAAACGTTTTAGACGTAGGAAGTCAGACTCAACATGTTGTTTAAACATATGTTTCATGGATGGAGAATCCAACATTTCGAAATTCCATTTATATAGGCACATACTACGTTTGAAAAATTGTTTCCCAAAGATGTATACCAAAAACTAAATAAATAGTCCAAAGATAGAGCTTTATAGACAAATTTCTCCCAACATTATCAACTTCCTTTTTCTCTCAATTAACCTCATTCCACTCCCCTTAAATTTTCACCATATTCGGAGACAATACTATAATCTCTACTAAAAACCAAAGAATTAATTCTTATTCCTAATATGTCACGAAACTTCTGATTATTTCCTCTGTATTTTAAAAATAGGATGTCTGGCTACATAACGTAATGTCGGAAAATCACAATACAGAATATTTCGTGAGCAGGAAATTTTGAGAAAAACCGAAAAAACTAAGGTTAATAGATAACTGATAATACGACAACTTTTGCTCACTTAGCTCATAAAAATGAAACAGGAATTTAAATTGAGCAAAAATGCAAGTAAATTCGCCATAAACCAAATGTCGTAAACGCAGAAGAATGCAGCATGCAAAGACAGATACAATTTGATAATCTCGAAAAAAAAAAGAATAGAAATAATATGAAGAATTCGCGCTGGCATAAGGAACAAAACGACGTACAAACTAACCGACAACCTCACCATCATCGAGGCTTGCGTTAGAATCACGCGGACGCTTGCGATCATTTAAAACATTTCCGCTTCCATTGTTGCTAGCATTACCACTACCATAACTATTTCGAATGTCGGGTAAACGGTCGATTGCGAGCACTTTATACATTTGATTGAATGCAATCAGGCGTAATGCATGCTGTGAACTGGATGTGATATCTTCTCGTTGTTGTCCGGTAAGTTCCGCAAGCACATCAACTGATTGTTTCTCACAGGGATCAATAAGTCCAGGTCCACCTTTAAAAGTGATTTGATAAAAATTGAGTTCATATAAAAAACATGTCCTGGCGTTCAACTAATTGAAATCTTCGTACAATTACTCATCATCTACATTGTCACCAATAACGACTTTCAGCATTAAAAAAGACAGCGCTCGAAGTATTGTAACAAACAACACCATTTTTGGTTTTCATTTCTTTCGCTCTCAGCAGTTAAAGCGTTCATTCTAACAAGTAAAACGAAAATATACTTACTTGAGAATAAAATACCAGACGCAACAGCTTCAAAAACGCGACGGACAGCATCACCAGGAGACAACGGAGCACCAAGAGATGATAAAACCTTCTCCACCAGCAATTCTGTCATCTGAAATGAACCAACCTTGTATAACAAAATAACATTAAATCACTCAACCAACTGGAAATGGTACCAATTGCAAATGGACAGTGATGGTTACCTTTAAGCATTATTAAAGTATATTTATAAATACCATATTAATCAATTTTTTCAAAATGCCCATCGTCAAAAAGCTTACCCAAGCTTTCAGCGGTTGCCATGTTTGTACACGCTGACGAACATCGCGCAAGATGCGTAATGTTATTGCAGCAGACTGTAAGTTCGAGCATCTAACCTGAAATAATATTAAGTTGGCAAGAGCAACTAATTTACAGTAATAATTTTGAATGTTTAAAATGTGATTTAAATGGCATAAAATATGCCAAGACTTCAATCGGCTTTTAAATTTCCTACTTGAGTGCCAATATCAAATTTATCACAACTTAAGATATAACTAAATATTCTACACAATTACTTTCCACCAATTAGATCATATAATGCATACATTTGCTGTTTTCTTGTACAACGAAGACAGCTAAATTTCTATTTAGCATAGAATTCTGCGCATATATGGTTCAAGGTATGCACAAAGATTAATGGAAATACATAAACTAGAGCCTTTGTCAAATGTTTTTACCAGAAACAGGTGACAATGACCTTACAAACAGAACCATGCAGGAGCAATTTAAGGGTCGGAAAATTTACTGTAACTATTATCGGATTTTTAAACTATTCAGTGCAAATTACGAATCATAAATTAACGCAATAACAATTTCTTTCTATTTTTCTCTGTTAAATAAAAATTATAGAAAAATAATACTTCGTCGAAAGCTTCTAAATTCCCTTCAGTCATCAGTTCGAGTGCGCAGTTAACTTACTTTAGACTTATTAAAGATTCATCGCATGATATACCTACCATTTTTTTCTTCCTGTTGCAATAAAGTTTGCTAGATAATTTTCCAACCCCATTTCAAAAATTACAACACATACCTGGAACCATTTGGCGTGTCTCAGTTCAGCCAACGCTTCCAGGCAAGGGACCTTCGGCAGAGGATCCTTTGGCGGTGCACCTTTCGCGCCTGCCGCTGCCGTAGCTCCATCACCTTCTGATAAAGAAATGATAGGAAAGAAAAAACGCATTCAAGCAAATTAACAAACGATGAATATCCCAAAAGTATTCAATCTTAAGAGCGCAAATTCCAGCTCACTCGAAAATATCATATAGGATATTCATAGTTAAAAGAAAGAACGGGATTCTTTCAGTTTTGTTTCTCTTTCTACAAAAATTATCCGAAATTTAATTTGTTTGAAAAATTTTACGATCTTGAAGTCTCTCTCACATGTATTCTTTTGCTAAATTTTCTGATGTCATAAATGTCCCGTTCTGCAAACTGAGTTACCAGAAATTTCCTTCACTTGTCCCAATTTCATGTTAAGTTTAAAGCAGAAAAGTAATGAATTATGGTGGTAACTCTGCTTTCGTTGAATGCGTTAGCTACAAAGATGAGCACACATATCCTTTTATCGATGGTTCCCAAGATCGCTTGCTTAAATCCATTTTAAAAAACTTGAATTCCTTTTGAAAAAAACAGTCAAAATTCCGTATTTCCATTCCAACAATTTTAAATTTAAACTCGAAAGTTCCTATTCCCACTTTTCATTGCTCCGTTCATTATAAAAATTGAGAACCATGTCAATTCATAAAATAAGCTTGATAAAGCAAGCAGATATATGGATACAGCGCCAAATCCAACAATAATAGAGACACCGAGAACGCCATTTAAATTTTTAGGGGGAAATGTTAAAAACTCAAGTATTTTTCGTCTTTAAATCTAATCTAAAGATGATTCCACATAGATAATCAAATAATTAACTCATCGTTCGTAATAATAAATTAAGATTGATTACATCAGAAATAAAGAATTCAAAAAGTAAATTGGAACTGTATCAAGTATTTCTCCCAAATACCTCTAACTCTACACCTCGACAAACGAATCAAGCTTTAGAAGTAGTTGGAAATAAAAAAGCTTGTTGTAAAAAACTAGGTAACAATAAAAATTTCGTTATAGTTCAAATTTAGAAAAAAATGAGAAAAGTCACTAGCTAAATGACTATTATGTATGTCTATATATAATTTGTTTATATTTATATGCAAAAACAACCTCCCGCTGCATGTTCTTCACGAAGTAGAACACATGTTAGTACAATACGACAAATTATATCCGAATTGGAATGTTTCAACAATAACGCGCTTTCATCTGGTTTTTCAACTACCGTTACCACTTCATTTTCACCTTTCTAAAAAATAAACGAAAAACTCAGCTGAATTCTAAGGAAGAAAGATGCACACTAATTCAAAGACAATGTCAAAAGTTTAAAAAATCTTTATCACAAATTAACATGCAGTAGTTAGATGTAAATTAAGAACACTACGAGCCCTAACAACTAACACAATAATCATCGTACTGGTCAGACCAAAATTTAAATTTCTGTAGGACCAGATTTATATAGAAATGTCCTCCATTTACTAAATTAAAAATAATTCTCAAGATTGAAACAAAACCTACTTCTATGACTTGTGGCAACAATCTTACTACTTTTGATAGCAGTGTTCGAGTTGGTGGCTGCGAGCAAAGTACAACCAATTGAACCTTTAAACATAATTCATAAAATATATATACTAAAACGATATGAAGATTAAATGCAATTGGTCCCCTTCACAAACAATCCAGCAGCTATGATTTGAATGGTGCGTCTCCCATATCTCTCCATTTTCTATTTCTTTTCTATATAATGAACCTATTAATCTATTAATCTACAAAAGATTAACAGTACAATCTACCTACCTCTCTGTCAGTTTTCAGCAACAAGCCTTTAGCAAGAAGACCAACACGCATGACTCCTTTCAGAATACGATCAGGTTGCTGTGTTTCAATAGAATGTGACGCGATTCCTTCGCCTTGTGACTCTTTTATTTCATTATCGGACTTCTTTGTTTCTCTACAAGACAAATTTGACTTAAGAAATTTAATTGCCGGAGCAATAATTTTTTAGGATTCTAAAATAAGAGAACAAAAATAAAATAAACACTTAAAACATACTCCTGTGCCAAATTGTCCGAAACAGCCTTTAGTGCCTTCTCAGTTACCGAAACGAGTTTTTCAATAGTCGTTAATTGCGATTCTTCTGGATAGATCTGCAAAAAAAGCGATTACCATAACCAGATTTTACTTCAAGTAAACAATGAGCAAATCTTTAAGAAGTTCTCACTCATAAAAAACCCTCTCTAAAATTCCACCTAAAACATTCCGATCGATAATTTTGAGTGGACCAATATTGTCAAATAATTCAACAAAAAAAAAGTCAACAGTGCTAAGCCATAGCTAGAACAATATTTTCATAACTGCATTTGCTTATTAGTTGAAGTAAGTGATAGTTTCATGTATGATCAAGTAACCTTATAATTATATTATACCGAATAGTTTTTCTTGAACATTACAATTAAAAGGAACTCTTTTAAAAAAAGTAAATAGTACAACAAACCGAGCGATGTTTAGCCATGACATGTCGATCTTCTACAGTTTCTATACGTCTTCCAGGATCCATAACTCCACACCATGGACGAGCTGATAATGGCATGAGCAGCGGCTGCGGAGCACCTAGTGGACGAGGCCTAAACTAAATCGATCAAGAGAATCGCAAAGAACTCTAAAGCTCTACTGTCACTTGGCGCTTTATGAGCTGTCGCAAATGACTAATGGGATGCATAAAAAAAACCATTAAGACAATATAAAGCATACGGCATAACATGCATCCGTTGTGCACGCAGCTTACGTGCTATTTCGTTACGCATTTCACGTGGAACTTGGTTTGGTTTCACCTCAACCACTAAATTGGGATTGACTTTCATCTGGAATTCAAGTACAAGTACAAACCAGTACAAAATTATTCAATATTTTGTGCTGCTTTATGTATACCATGATAATCCTTCTGACAAATTTAAGCAAAACTAATGACAAAGTTTACGTAACAGTAAGTTATCAAATGTTTTAGATAAAACCTTATACTGCAATCGATGTTTGCGCCCTTTGATGTGTATATTTTTGGCATTTGGATCACTGAATTTGCAATCACAAAGTTTGCAACTGTACTGGATCAGTTTACCGGACGCATTCCTTTCTTCTTCAACGTAATCTTCTCCAACCGGCTGAACCTCTTTTTCAGCAGCCAAAGCAGCCTAGAAATTAGAATAAAAGATTCTAGCAAGATTCAGCAAAACATTTTTCATGAAAATATATTAATGTATATATTTATGTATTTTAATGTGTATATTTATGTTATGCCCCTTTAAAAAGCAATCAAAATCTACGATTAAGTTTAAACTACGTTATTAACAAACCTCAACAGCAGCACTTTTTTGGCCCGACGCTTCGATTGCTGCTTCAGCGGCATTTGCAGCTTTTCGTGCTAGTTCTTGAGCTGTACTTTGCAACTTCTCACCACCAACAAATTTGACGGTCGGTACACCGATAACCTGCAAGCAACTTATTGCTATAATAATACCAATAAGTGAAACAAAATTTACTCTTACATATCTGATGAATATTTCTGCTATTCAATCTACCTCCCAAGCTACTATTTTCGTAATAATTACAACTGACTCATTTATCTATAAAATTACGGTAAAAAAATATTCAGAACAAAATTTACGCGTTTCGTTGGTACAGCAGGACCACCAACAGTTGAAATTGGAGTACCACCGGATGGAACTCCTGGTTTGTTCGACTTCTCACCAGGAGCAAGCACTGTTGGTGTTTCAGCAACTGGTTTTCCCAACTTCTTCATCAAATTCGCAGTCTAAATTTGTATACATTCAGTTAACATAAATATAAAAAGAAGGAACAAATGAGTTGATTCTAAACAAATTTTAAGAGCAAAAAAAAAAAAAAGATTCAAGCATAAAAATGTTAAAGAAGTCAAAGAAAACATACTTTCTGATGTTTACTTCCGCGCACGTGAGATTCATAAGTATCTTTACCAGTGCAAGTAACGTTACACGTTTCACAACGAAATGACACACGTGATTTAGATAGTGTCTGTCCTTCGCCTTTTTGCATTGCTTCTTTCTTCTTATGTTTCTGTCCATCCATATGTTCTTTGTAGGTCTGCAATAACATCTTTTTAACAATCAGAAAACAAGTGACTTCTTTGCTCAACGATACTTAGAGCTTTTTTCTCTATAAAAACTAAAGATCAGACACACTATTTACCTGTGCACCTGCACAACTGATTTTACATACTTCGCAATAGAATTGTTGCATATCAGCAGATCTTCCTTGCCCAAAACGTTTATTTGAGAAGGTTCCACGACCTACAATAAATACTTTGATTTCAAAAATGTAGTTACGGAACCAGTGCTTACTTAATCTGCTATAAGCTTGTAACAAATAAAATCAATAAAAGCAGCATTTCAACTAACAGCTAGAAACTACTAATAAAAAGCTAGGAAATACAGGACAGCTCAATTATTACTCATCCTCATAGTAAAGTAAAAGATTGAAAAGCTGAAATTACTGAGCACTTTACTAAATAAGTTGTATTCTGTCGCACTTATATACCTAGTGAGCTTAAAATTTTATCGACTGTACATTATATATATATAAGTTTATCAAGCTCTTACTTTTTAACTTCTAAAAAATACTGAAAGAAGCTGCAGAAAGCAGTGCGCGAACATAAATGAGAATGCGAAAAATCGGAAATAAAAATCACTCGAAAGATATATCCAAGCTAAGTATTAATAAAAAACTTTTCTGGAGAAATATTTTATTTACATTAATCACTTTTCTCGACCATTTTAATTCAGTCCTTATTCATATTAACCCACCTCTATTTCCAGTGTATCCACCTCGTCCTGAGACCCCGCCACTACTACCGCCAGTGATTGCGATATTTGAAGAAGTGATGCCGGAAAACGAACTTGAACCACTGTCATAACCAGTGGTGCTTGATTTCTTCGTAGCCCCCATCCACACATTAGCAGCACCTGCAGCTTTTGACTGTAGATAACTGCTTGCAGCTGCGTATACTGCTGCATCATAGCTATTGTAATTTGATGCTGTAACAAAATATAATTTGTTAAACGTAATTTTGATTTATGAAAATTCCAACGTTATAACGTTCTTAAATTTTTGGATGAACAAAGGAATGAAAAATATAAGAACTGAATTAGCAAATTCTGACCTAGGTATAAAAATTTGTATTCAGAAAATTTAAACATCCAATTTGCTTCCTTACTTGAAAATTTCTGGAAAATACTTGAGTTGCTCGTCCCCGTTGCTGATGATGTATTAGCCGGCTGACTGGTTACTGCTGTACCAATTCGAGTAACACCTACGTAAGAATTGTTACTTGTTGAATTTGCCGCAGCCGAAGCAGCGACAGCTGCCGCTGCAGCTGTACGCAATGTATTCGTATACTCTACAACAAAAGATAATTTTAACTTTGAACAGTAAACAGCAAAAATTTTTCTACAGTTACAATGATGCAATACCTCTTCAATGCCTAATAAAAATTTCAGAAGGAAATGATTAAATCTGAAAAATACCGAGCTGCTCTTCTAAGAAAAAGTCACAATTACCTAGTAGTAAGGTTAGCAATACAAATAACAAAGAAAGATTTCAGAAATCATGAATACTAGCCCTATAGTCTCAATAAGACCAATAAAAAATCGCGTAGGATCTCATTTTGCATATGTAAAAGTCAAAAATCAAGCAGTTTACTCCACTCATTTCGACCAGAAACCCTAAAAAAATGACAGATGGTGGAAAAGTGTTCAAAAAAATGTATAAAGAAACAAGCCTGATAATGAAGTGTAGGTACCGCCTGTTGAAGGGACTGAACCGACGGTACTATATGAATCGGTCAGTCGTGTTGCAGTATGCCCTGGATATGCTGCTGCAGATGCACTTACAACACCAGTTGCTGCTGCAGCTTGCAATTGCAAATTACTGTAGTTCTGCAAATTTTCTCAATATCAGTTTAGCAATTTAAAGAGAGTAAGAAGAAATAAGTGAAGATTAATTAAATATAATAAATAAAATATACCACATAACAGCATTAATAAATTCTCTTAACTAACAATAAAACTTTCCAGCCGCAATTTTTATCATCCTTCCTTCAGGCAACTCATACTGTCGCAAAAAAAGAAAAAAAAAAACTTCAAAAGTTAGCGAACAATTTTCCAATAAAAAAACCCTTACAACCTGCTGCACTTGTTGCTGCTGTTGTTGCTGCAAAGATGCCACAGCCGCCGCAGTTTGTCCATATTGCGCATACGCTGCTGCAGCAGTAGGATTTGCATACGCAGCATACGGTGATGCCGTTGGAGCTGCTGCACTTGAAAAACTAAAAAATGTTCTGCATTATTATTGCCAGTAGTATAACTGCTGATGATATTAATGACTTTTTGCAACATTTATAAGATACACTAAATTATAATAAAATGGATCATCTGATTCCGATACTGTTTCCATGCATAGCTTTCAAAATATTCAGATTTTGATAATTTTTATGTCTGAAAAGATTTTGTGAAGAAAATTCCAAGACTTAACCACTTTCCAGATGATCACATGATTGGCCTTTCAAAAAAGAAAAATTAATGATTGGGCCTTTCAAATCTGTAAATTTAATGTTCGGAATTGATCATTAGCAATATATGATTCACGCTGACGCTAATTGCTACGAGGTAGCCATAAACCAAGTCATTTCAGTCATCTCAAATTGTTTAGGATTACTATTACTTTCAGGAAACAGAACTTTCGAAGGGTTCCTCACCTGGCATAGACACTAGTCGGATTTGTAGCCCCTACAGCAGCACCAAGTGTAGGGGTATGAGGAGTCGGCTGCGACTGCACCGTTGCATTATAAACTGCAGCAGCTGGTGAAGTTGCATATGTTGAATTATAACTTCTGAAACTTGCACTAGCTTAATTATAACAAAACGAAGCGCAAATCAAAGAAATAAATGGTAATAAACAATAAATTAATTTTTTAAAACGTGTTTATCTTTCTTCGAAATCCTTATTCTTGAATTTTCCATACCTTAATTTTTCAATTGCTGTTTTTCAAAAAATCGAACTTGTTCAAATTTTTTTTCATATGTCATAGTCAAACATATTAATTGACATTATTCATACACTATACTAACTGATCAAAAGAAAAATTTAGAAATCAGGGACAACTCATATCAACTGTAATATCAATTCACCATCCTATCTTCATATTTCCTGATCAGACAAAAAACAAAACAAATGCTATTTCAAGAATTATCTTGTACAGAGAGATATTACACTTTTGACACTTCAAATAATTTAGCATTACAAACAAAAAATAAATCAGAAACATTTCTTACTTAAAATAGCTATTCTCCTAGGTTTAGCGAAAAAGAGAAAATAAACTTGCCCATATTGGCTCTGACCCGTGAAGCTATACATCCTACAATCACGAATTCTTGAATTTTCTTAAAATGCTCCCTTCTTTCCACGAATAAAATCAACCTAAAATGGGGAAAACTTACTGAAATCGTTAATTTCAAGAGATTTCCATTCGTTTATAAAATTGTTATGACTAAATACCATTCCTACTTAAAAGTACAACAACTAAAATAACTTCTCCCAAAATAACTTCTCATTCACAGAGACTTCTTTAGTAACCTTGTACCTCTATACCAAAACTGAACCCCCCCCCCCTCTCTTGTTCTAGGCCCACCCATCTATAAATCAGTACTGGCTCGAAAAAATCGATATGTCCAACTACCGTAGCCTACCATGACCGCACTTCTTGCAGCCATAAATCCATCATAATAAAATTCCAACAGAAGTAAAATTTTCTTTATTTGCCCTAGATTCATTCTGGAAGACAAATGACAAGAAATTGAAAATGCGGTATTTTAAGATACCTATCAGTTACCATCGTGCAGTAAACAAAATATGTTCATACGATAAAAGTAAGTTGCATTCCTAATAGGAGAGATAATCATCAAATAAAAATACCATAATATGCTGCTAGCAAAAAAAAAAAAAAAAAATGCAAATAAATGTTACGCTATTTCGTGAAGGGAACTTTCAAGAAATAATGGAAAATTGATATTACAAAACAGAATTATTCTCTGCTGTATGAATGCATCATCTTCGTAATAAACTTTTATTTCAATACAATTAACAATTAAATCAAAAACAGTAAAGATTTATAAAATTACAAATCTCATTTATTTCTTCTCAGCTTTAATTTTTGCTTTTAACACTCGTGCAACAATTTTCTGCTCCTCAATTAGAAAAGCACGAATAATACGCTCCCGTACGGCCGCTGCTGAAAGGCAACCACCATAAGCACGCGTGACAGTCTTAAGTCGTTTAGTCATTTTCCGCAGCTGGCGTGGCCTTGCCGGCTTGACCTGAAACATAATAAAAATGGAAATCATTGATTTTCAGCTTCAATTTACATATGTTGCCTAAGTTTTATAACTACGTCAAACTAGTTCAGGACAAACAAGAAAGGTCTGAAAATGTGTTTATTCATGAAGTTTTGACTTCTAATTTTTCAGTTAAATATAACATCTCGTCATATGATATTGTAATGATTTGAAAAATATGCAGGAAAATGTAACAATGCTCAATAATCAGAACATCTCAATTACAATAATGTAAAAATTTTCCAAAACCAGCAAGATTTAATGTACTGAATCAGTAATACTCAAAAGACACTTACTCCTTTTAGTTTAACTCCTGTATCACCACATCGCGCTACAGAACCTTTCTTTTTTCTGTACAAGAAAACTAGACGTCCACCTGGTGTTTTCGATACCTGCAAAATATGTTAGTGTTATGATGTAATGCCCATAACTTAGATGATTTTTTTTTTTGAAGCATTATGTATGGGAATCAATCACTTTAGAAGAGGTCTCTCCTGAGTACTTGCATATGGTAGGAGTTGCAGAGGGCTTTTCGAAAATAAGTTGAATTGTATGAACAGATGATGAATGACATCGAAGAAATAAGTAGTACATATAAGAACTAAGTTTTTATGGAAAAACAATAACAAGCTCACTTTATTAAGCTCACTCTTCGCTTCTCTCAATCACTACCCATTAGGGATATTATGTTCTATTTTCCAACTGAAACAAAAATACCTTTGTTTTATTAGATTTGGTGTTATAACAGAGGCGACGCCGGTACGTCAATCGTTGCGGCATTTCTCCAACCTAAAATGATTTAGCTGCCGAATAAATGAATTATTGAGTGACTTCAACGTGTACAGAACACCACTTAATCTACCATTTTCAATGCGAAAAGCCATCAAATTGTCTATACTCACAAATCGTACGTGAAGCATTGCTCACGAATCACGTGACGCCCCCTCAATCAAAAAATCACGCACTGCCAAACCACACGGTTGGTACACGCAGCGTTAAACGTTACACATTAGGACAAATGAAAATCATCGTGGTACAACCATATCAGGGCTACTATGAAACATTGTTTCCACTGTCATTGTTGAGTAAGGTGACAAAAGTTCCTTTCGTTCTGAATGGTTTTGTTATGTATTCATGCAAAACTAGTTAGGAATTATATTAAATCTTTTAATTTCGTCAGAAAATTCACATTTGAGTGAAAGTTTTAGTCTGGAATTGGCAAAGTGACATAGCGAGATTTGAAGGGAAGGGAAGAATTGATAAAATTTTCAGATTTTTGCTTTTTTATTTTTATGGATTTCTGAGATTGCGCGAAGATATAACTCACCGTGGGTATTTTGATATATTAATTGATTCAAGCGTTAGAGCTAATTCTGTTTGCTACTTTTTGTTTCATATAAGAAGAGAACTGATGACACATTGTATTTTTTTGTTCTATGCAAGAGTTGCGCGGAATTCCTGCATGAAACAGGGATGATTGATGAGATTCTTGTCGAAATAGCATTTCCAGAATGTCTTTTAGAAGTATATTTGGCACATTATTGATCGGGATCGAAAAAATTCATATGTATTTACAGTAACAATTAAAAAATATAGGGTCTACAGATATGGCTGATAAACTTATGTTGGTTTGGAAAACATGGCTGTTTTGTGTACTATCCATGCACATTGTACTTCATTAATTTTAACTTTGTATTATTATTTTGTAGCTAATTATCTGAATAACAAATATTTATGTGATCGAATTATTATTGAATTTGGTTCAAATGATAACTGTTATTTTAGGAGATGTCCGGCACGCATTTTTTAATTGGAATATGTACTAAGGATTATGTGATTTTGGCAGCGGATCGTTCATGCTTTGCACATGGAGCAATTGTTGTTGCCGATGGTTGTTTTTTATTTCTTCATGAAACTTCGTAGGTTTAGATTGCTGTGTCATATTGAGTGGGAATGAGTGAGTTGAAATTAATTTAATGATAGGACTGAAAAAACTCGTGGTGCTTCAAATTCTTAATTGCTTCAGATTGTCAAGACTGTAAAAAAGAGCATTTGTAGCCTTAGACAGAGATGATAATTCAGATTATTTGTTTGAAGATAATAATATGTATTCAGATTATTTGTTCGTGTGTTAGGGTTTTGCAGTGTGATATGAGGTTTTATTCGAGAAGTAAGCAGTATTTAATGTGTTTGTTAACAGATGAGGAAAAGAAATTTATCTTGGGTGATAAATTAGCAATGATATGCATTGGTGAAGATGGTGATGTAGCGCAGTTTGGAGATTGGTGCAAACGAAATATTCAACTTTATAAACTTCGATACGGTAAGTGATTTCTACTAAACAATACACATAGAATTTCTTTGTTTTTACGTTTTGACAATTTAAATCTCATATGTTATTTTGCAGCAATTTTTAATCATCATTATAGCAACAATAAGAAACTGGACTTTAGACGAGATTTCCGAAGTTCAATTCCTAGGCTTTTTTTGCCAGGTAAAGTACATTGCAGGTTATGAAATGAGTCCACGTTCAAGTCATCACTGGATTCGTCGGAGTATTGCTGAAGCTTTACGAACACAGGATTATTACGTTGTTGATACATTGATTGGTGGTTATGACAGCATTGAAAACAAAGCTTTTCTTGGTTCTGTTGATTACTTGGGCAACGGTATTATTGACCAGGTTAGTTAAAATGTTGAGTTTATCTATATTCGTAGTAGCAGCAGTGTTTGAAAGGCTTATTTTTCCTGAAAAAAAATTGTAATTTCGCTTTCTCGTTCCTTTATAAATCAATTCATTTACTCTCCAGCTTTGTCGATGCTTATTTTGACACTGGAAATGTTAAGCAAAATGTGTATATTACATTTAGTCCGAATTGCTTTCTTGCATAATGAGAATGTTAATATTTTTAGCCGTATATTTTTCGTGGATTCAGTGGACGACTCTGTTATTCAATTCTAGACAAAACATATAGGAGTGGTTAGTTAGTATGCTCAGTTTCTTATTTGTTCCCTCTAACTAATCATCAATATTAGGACAGTACCAGTTTTATTGATGATTTCCTTTTAAGTGTGATATAATTGTGTTCCGTGAAAAGGATGTCTTATTATTATTGTTATATTTAGATAGATCATAAAATTTTTCCTTATGAATACCCGCTTATCTTTTATGTAATGGAATCGTTTTCCTTATATTGTACTTTTTTTTAGTTCTTCGAATTCTATATATGAACGATTTAATTTTAGTTCACCGATCTGAAATTATTTATTGTGTGATCTATTGTAATTGTTCTTGTTTTAGATATGTTCTTGTTTTAGATATGTCCGAAGAGGATGGCATCGGTTTGTTAAAGAAATGTCTGCATGAATCAAAACGTCGTTTCATCGTCAATTTGCCGGCGTTTGAAGTAAAGATTTTCAGTTTCTCTTATTTAGCTTGATGTTGAAGTATTTAAAACTTTGGTTTGAATTAAATTTAAAATATTATGGAAATCTTTAGGAGCATCAAATAAAATCGGAAAAACTTTTGTCGTCCCAATTTTTTCTTTTCAGCTTTGATTAAATGTTTCTTCAGGTAATGGTTATCGATAAGAATGGAACACGACAGCTGGAGGATATCAAAGTTTAGATGCAGTTTCATTTCTTGTTCAATCTGACTTTTTTGTTTTATAATTACATCGGTTTATATAAAAAGTATTTATTGATATCTTTCTCTTAAATATGCTTTGATCGAATTCACCATCGATCAAAAGTTTCCTAATTCTAAGTAATCAGAGTTGTGGATATTTAAAAAAGATTCAAGCTTAAAGATAATTGCAAGTGTGTTGAAAACAATGAACAAGTTGAAATGCTGTAGAACTGATTTATGAAAGGATTTATCAACTTCTGGAGACAACAGAAGGATTCTCGTATAATCGTAACTTTGAAAACCAACATATGCTGTTTTAATAAAAAAATTTTGGATATTTTTCATTACAGATTCTCATTTCTGTTTGAATTGTTAACGTCCCTAAATTGGCTATTCTTATCACTGTTTTTGATTACAATTCTAACTCAGTATTAACCTACTTTCTACGTTTCCTAGAAATACTTGGAATCTAGATACAACAGAGATATAAGTATGGATATCTTTTTCGTGACCGAAATATTAGTAATTATATTTTCTATTCTTGATAAGGAGTATTTTCTAGTTCAGTTTACTAGCACATGAATTAAAGTCAAAATGCAAAGTGTGAAGAATTACATTTATTAATACTGAAAACTTTGGGATCAGTTGTTAGGCGAAGTATTGATAATGTAATATAATGCTGGAAGGAAGTTTTATAATGTTTCTTCCTTTGTTATTCACTTTTGACAATTTATATTTATGTTCTTAAACACAGATAAAAACAGGAAAATCAATCACTTTATAAATACAAAGCAATAAAAGGCACAATAAAAATCATCATTTTAGTATTCCGGTAAGGCTAGACCTACTTTATAGATTAGGAAAGGTGGATAGTAGTGTACTTGTACCAATTCTTCTTCCGTATCCGATTGATCTGTTGCTTCCATATATTCTTCTTCAAACAATTTCCTCAATTCAAATAGCAATCGTTGCGTCGCATTTCTTCGTGGATAAAACATAATAATTTGAAATTTATCTTGATCATATTGTGTCAAACTTCCAATATATGCTCGGAATACCTTAATATGAATTAACACTTCAAATATATCTTCAGCAATCATTTTAAGCCATTGAACAAGCATTATATTTTGATATTGTGTAGCTTCCTCAAGCTTACGATGTTCATGAAGTTTTCTAGCAAATTCATCCTCATCAGATTGATATTCTCGAGCAATGAAACCAATTTCAGCACAATTATCTCGAAATTCCAAAAAATCATCACGAACAATTGCTACTGAATATAACTTATAATCATTATCTTCGATAATAAAACAACTGGAACATGATACCACTGAATCATGAAGTGTTTCATAGACATTTAACCAGGTATGAACAGATTGCTGTGGTACAGCTACATAAACTGATTCAATATATGGCGTATCGATAACCGTTTCCTCACGTATTAATAAAGTTAAATTTTGAGTGGCTAATGTTTCCTCAAAACTGATATATTCGGTGGCTATTTTCAAATTTTCCTTATATGTTGCAACATTACTTCGCATCTGCTGATCAAGATCACGAAAATATTTGTAAAATAGATGACATAAATCAGATAATAGCAAATATGGTGAATATTTGGTTGTATTCCATGAGAAATTGGTAATATTTTCACCATATCTACGCCTATGCATTACTAAATGTTCCAATAAATCGACACCTTCCGCTTGTAGAACACCCTCAAAAGTACATAGTAAAGATCGAAGTAGATTTTCAACTGAATTATCCAGTTGTAATAGATCTTCCAATAATTCATAAAGTTCAGCTTTTGGAGCTGTTCGAAATTTCGGAATTCGTATATTCGAAAATATCGAAAAGTTAAGAGCAACAGTTCTCAATTTTAACCATTTAGCATCAGTATAATTTTCAATTGGTATCGAAATGAGAAACATTTCCTTTGATTTGAACGCTTTATTTGTTTTGTCTGAAATTTTTAAATTAATTTAAATTTGAATCAATTTTAGTGACCAAAAATTGACGATTTAGATTGTAAATATGCTGCGCAATTGTCTGCTTTCAAATTTATTGCTCACATATATAACTATAAACGTAATTAATTGTTCCAATATTTGTGGCATATCTTCTGGAATTGTTTGAAAATTCTGGAGCACTCCGCCAAACTCTTTAGCAAAATTTAAATTCTAAATTCAATTTTAATGAACAAATAATTAACCTGAGCATGTTACATGATTCGATTTCGAAACTTTTATTGCTGTCACCACTTATCAGTTCTAGCGCAAACACAGAGCTGAAAAAAGCGATGAATCAATATAAATGATAAACAATTAAATTTATAATATATTAGGAAGAACGGAATATCAGTGATTGTTTTAATGATTCTAATCTCTCGAGCACATCTCCAAATATCTCAAATTTCAGTATTTAGCTCGTATTTTCTCAAGCATTAATGTATTTCTGCAAAATTCTTCGAATTATTACATTCCCAGAAAAAAAATGGACATAAATTGGATATATTGATTTATTAAAATGACCTATTGATTGATTGTTTTCTTTTGACAAAGATTAGAAAAAGATAAATGATGAAATTATTCCGATATTATAGCAAATATGTAGGGTAAAAAAAGAAGAAATGTGAACTAAATAGGATAACAGATAAAGATAAACCTTTCTGTAAGTGAACCTATCAGTCTCGATTGAGGTAGAAAAATGATGGTCACTGTGAGGGATGGTCAGCGGTCACTCTGTCTTCTTTCAATAAGAAAAGTGAGCAAACTCCAAAAGGCAAGAGTACCGTAAGAGGGATAGTGGGCAATGGCTAACAAACAAATCAGACCACACCCTTGATGAGAGGTCAAGAAGACATATTTCTAACTAACTACTCTCCTCATTACAAAAACAGATCGTTATCATTGCATTTTTATTTGAAAACTTTTAAAAAAAAAAAAATGAACAAATTAAAAATGTAAAGAATATTTTATCATAAATACTATCTGTTCTCTATCATAAAATTAATGATAAATTTAAATTTAATAAAGTCTTAAATACACTATTTAAAAAAAATAATAATTTAATGCAAATTTGAATTAGCCATTAAAGAAATGAAATAAACATTTACTAATAACAAATGTTAACCTTTGAATTTTTCCTGCTTTATGATAGGATTAAATGGCGAAAATTACTCAGAATAAATTGCTATTGGCTGAATGTGATCTTAGTTGATATACAAAACACTAAATTTGGAAGAATTTTCTAGAATTTTTATTCAATTAATGATTCTTTCTAAGAGATCATAAATTTCTCTTTTTTATTTATTTATTTTTTATTTTTTTTGAATTTGTCATTAAAGAAATATGCATTTAGAAAAGAGATTTAATAGATAACTTTAGAATCATTAGGTCATATAGGTTATCATAATAGAACAATAATATAAAATGTTTATTAACATTTTCAGTTTTTTTTTTTTTTTATTTGCTTGTGGAAATGAAAAAAAAAAAAAAGTAAAAACTTTGTAAGATTAAATAATTAAGATATGATTTGCTATTTTATGATTGGAATTCAGTGTGATCTTTTTGCAAATATAAATTAATCCATCTTAATAAGACAAATTCTTTTTTTTTTTTTTGAATTGTTGAAATTTTTTCAAGTATTTCAAGTATTTAGGTAGGGTATTCTTTTTTTTGATTTGTTGAAAATGTATAGAAGGCTATATTCAATTGCTAACTTTTTTTTTTAGTAAGAATTAAAAGATTAGAACTGTTGTAATGCCATAATGACTACTGATAATATTCATTTCATATTTGCTGATAATATCAGTTGATTCCATCAAATGCAAGAATAAAATCCGGAAATCTTTCAGTTAGCCAAAAAGAAACGAAAGAACTTTTTTATTTAAACCTTTAAAAGGAAAAACTCTTCCTTTATTACCATTTTTGCTTGAACAATTTTATTTTTTCATTAGCATTTGTTAAGTTTGTTTGAAATTGCTCAATTAACCAAATACACATTATATTTTCTTTCCATTTTAAAGTGACACAAGCATATAAAACAAAAAACTTGCTTAAGATTTATAACGAAAGAAAAAAGCGGAAACCGGCAACTTCAAAACAATGAAAGAGCTTACATGAACTGAGCACGTATCAGCACGAATAATAGACGTATAACACGTGAATTAAATGACCCATCATCTGATAAGGAATGGAAGAGAAATGTTTGAGGATACAAATGAAAAGTACATCGAACTGACACGAATTATCAACTAAGGTAATAAGTAATAGTAGAAAAAAGAATTTTTTTTTTTTTCTACTTTTCACTTAAAAATTTGCTTAATAATATGAATTAAAAATACATTCAATATGAGAAAATATCAACAATTGATAAATTTACACGTAAGACTGATAAAAAATTTGCTTGAAAATATAAATTGAAATTACATTCAATGGGAAAAGGAAAGTAATGACGTATCGCACGTGTCTTACAAATTACAAATCTGCCACTGTTTAAATTACCCAACAAATTTCCAAGGTATATATGTAAAATCATTTTTACAAATTAACCATGGAAATTTTTTCTTTTTTTTTTTGATATCTAAGAAAAAGATTAATGAGGCAAAAAAAAAAAAAAAAAAAAAAAATTCTGAACAATAGCTTTAATTTTATAAAAATTTACCATGTTTTATACAGTTTAAATCTTTCTACCTTTAATATGATATCAAAAGAAATTTCACCTATTTTAATAAATAAACTTCACCTGAAATTTTTTTTTTTTTTTTTATCAAAATAAATTTCACCTGTCTTTTTTTTTTAATCAGAATAAACTTCACCTGAATTTTTTAACTAACACAATTTCTTCTCCAACCTTGATTTAATTCGTAATTAGTAGAATTTGATGATTAAAAAAGATAATATTTGTCCACCTATCCTAAAATTAGATATATATGATAATTTTAATAGAGATAACATTGAATTAAGATAATAAAATCTAAAAAAAAAAAAAGTTTAATTAAGATAATAAAACAATGGTAGATTTGAATTTAGCTTTTTTGTACTCTAAGAAAATGACAATAAGTGCATAACAAAGCCTTTTCCATTCTGCATGGCCATCCAGCAAGCACACATTTGAATCTGCGTTGGAAAACTGACTTCAGAATTCCTAATTTTTTCATCGTTCGAGCTTCCGGAATTCCGGGCAAAATTTTAACACTCCTATTGATTATCTAAAAAATGCATCAAGCTTAAATCACTTAAACAGAATGAAAAATGTCCAAAGGATAATTTAAAATAACTGATTAAACAATTAATCTCATCTAAATTAAATCTAAATTTAAATTGATTTAGTTTGATTTCAATTTGTAAAAGTTAATTTTACAATGTTTAATTCAAATAAAATTGAACTAAGAGTCATTGTGAATTTTTTATTTCTACACAATTAAGTATGATTAAGTATAATAAAATGAATTAAATATTAATTTAAATTGATCAATTCCTATACCATTCTAAATACACTGAAACTTACGCAATTTAAATATTTATCATATTTCGCTTCTAATTTTTTGAACAGTTTACCACCAGCGCCATCTCTCCATTTCATATTACGCTCCGCAAAAAGATGTATAGTATCATCTTCACGTCGAATATGTTGACGATATCTGATATCGATTGATCTGATATGATCCAAATAATTGCCTATTTGTGATGGATCTCTTGAGAAATCAATACTTTCCACTAGCTGTGATCCATTACTTGGAACTGGTAATGCACATATTGGCCAAAATTCCTTCAAAAAATTTTTCAAATTTTTTACTTTCAAAAAAAAAAGTGTTACATATAAATCATCAAGAACTTTTTTATCAAAATAACCCGAAATATCGATTTTTCGTCTGAACAAATTATTGTTTATTTGACAATTACCTGTTGCATACGATATTTCTTGACTAATCTTTCAGCTTTTTGTTCAATTTCAGACATCAGTCTTAGACAAAATAGCATTGTCATAACATTGCAACAACAACCACTTAATAATTTTCTTTCGCTAAGCCATATATTATCAAGTTCCTGAAAATTGCTCACAAATTGCCAATTTCATCGAAATTCTCTCAAATAAATGACAGAGAAACATCGATGATAATGATAAAGCAATTGTGAACAAATGAAAATGTTGGAAAATGTTCTATTTCATGGCTTTCATTAAAGATTATTCACTTTTTGAAAAGTTAAAAAATTATTTATTCATCTTCTCCTCTTTCATTTCATCTTTCCTTTTGTCTTCTATTATCTTGAAATAAACTATTATGAATTATTTATCTGAATTTTTATAAGTTATTGACCGGAATATTTTTATTAACTTAATAAGAGACAACAGCTAAAAAAAAAGAAGAAATGAAATATTTTAATGAATAAAATTTAACCTTTTTGATTATTCCAATACCATGACAGAACGAAATATGCCCAGGTTTTCGCATCCAATTTTGTGTTCTACTCAAATGTTGCGAGATTATTTGATCGCTATATGGCAGAAGTGGAGAATGAAGTATTAAATAATTCATCATTTTAAGTCGTGGTGATTTGTCATGTTTGCAATACTTATGCCAATTGCTTATATGTCCAAATTTACGTGGTAATCCAGCGCGATGTAGCATACGTGTACGATGACACTCGTAACGTACCATTCTTTCGTTATGTATATCATCATCATTACGTTTAGACTTATCTTTACGTTTCGAAGTTTTCATTATGAACAATAATTTCAGTTAAAAAAATAAAATAAATAACCTGAAATATAATAAATTAATTTTTATCACTTTTTTTTTTCTTTCTATTTTTTTTTTTTAACAATTCAGTTAAATTCGAATTTAAATTATTAATAATTTTTTGCACACAAAGAAGATCAATCAAATACTTTTTATTCAACGAAAAAAAAAAAAAAAAAAAGAAAAAAGAAACACCTAATTAATAACCAATAGCCAACATACTGTACTGAACAATTGAATACTTAATGATATCTCTTTTAAAATATTTTGCTGATGTAGAAAGATCACCCGCTGGCATTATAGTGCAATGATCTTAGTGCTTCTGAGATACAGATGTTTACTTTACTTTAGTTTTTTTTTTTTTTTTAAACCTTATCCAAAAATGTTAAAATGAAAAGATTGTAAAACATTTTTAAATTCTTTGCAACATTTTCTCAAGCATTATAAAGCTCCTTTATTTGTCATATTTTATAATTAAATAGATTGCTTTCATTTATAATTTAATCACACTTTATTCATTTATTTTCCTCATTATACTAATTTGGTGATAGCTTTTAATCTACCAATCATTTTAGACAAGTCAAGATATGATGACTTCAGATTTTGTTTCAAAAGTCGTTTCCATGAAGTTTTGTGCACCGGAACTTGGTACTTTTTTTTTCAAAAATTTTTATAATTTCAATCTCAGATATTATTTCCATCTCAAACTCAACAAATAATACTAAGAAACAATTAAACAATTACTATGCAAATAATTATCATATTTCAGGTTTATGTTTTAAGCATATTGTCATTCTACAGTAATTTTGGTACTTCAAGAGCTATATAGTTGGATCTCGAAATGGTACGTAGATGTACTACCGTACTTAGTATTCATATTATCCGAATGACATTTTTAACTACAGAGTTCAAAAATCACTGTTATAGTTATAGATAAAAGCGTTTGAACTCTGTTTGCTTAATATTTGCATTAAAATTTGAGCAGATTTAGCAAACTAAAGATTGCTAATTAATAAGCCGTAAACAAAAATACTATAAATAAAAGGAAAAAAAAAAAAGAAATTTTCACCCAAATTTTCAGTTATTCCTTTTGAATAACAGTTTCACATTTTAAAGAATTTAGATTTGTAAAATTTCAAGCTTACAAATTTAGCTCTCAGATCATCGTTAAACTATGATAACAAATAATAACAGTGTTTATGGAATAGTGATAGAGAGATATCCAAGTTAGACGATATCAAAATTAGCATAACTAAATTAGAAACGATAAAAAGATCGACAAGTATCTTTTCATTCACTTTTTAACTCAATTCTGTTTAATTCTTTGTTGCGTATAGTAATGCATTAGTATCAATGATACTTAAGTACTATTGATTTGCATTTTGAAATTGTTTTCAGCACTAAAAATCCCTCCAAAATGTCAATAAAAAAATCAATAGTAAAGGTCAAGCAAACCTTTGTTTGGTGACCTTATTTATCTCTGGCACTGTACTTTCTATATCATTCTGCTCACTTACATACATAAGCACTTTTTTCAACAGATTTGTTTACGAGAACCATTAAAATTAAGTATAACAAAGATCAAATATTTTGCCTTTGGTACAAGTCATATCATATCGTTCTACTTTTGCACTTATTTTTTCCTTTCAAATAAACTTTACTCACATATATTACAAAACAAAACATTGACTAATTTATGTTCTTTTTATCACCGACAATAAATGCAACAAAAATAATATCAAATTTTAGATTAAAAAATATTTAATTAAACAAAATAACAAAAACAAGTTAAATTGTTAACAAAAGTATCAATTTAAACTGACCTTGAATAATGATATCAACATGTAAATCTATGTTATAATACTTTTGAAAGTTCAAATAATGTCTAATAGCAGTTCATAAATTATAAAATGAAAAGATTGAAAATTGTATGAATAATCTATTCAAGTTGAAATAATTATGTAATTATGCATAGCTCTAATTTAGAAGAAATTGAGAAACTGTAGAAGCTGCTCACCACTAGCAGCTAAGAATGATGAACTGATGAATGAATGGTAGTGGATAATAATGATAGTAGTAATAAAAGTAGTTAATAGTATTAGTAAAGGAAGTAGTAGTAGTGGTAGTGGTAGTGGTATTGGTAGTGTACTTTACCTATGAGAATAATTTCCACTTATCAGAAAATCTCTTTTATTTCTCTTAGCCATATTCTTTATTTCTCTTTTCCAACTGTAATTTTCATCTGATTGCTTTAAAAAAAAAAAAAAAAAAAAAAAAAAAGAAAAAGAAAATACTGTAATTACTATTTGTTTATTATTCATCATTAAATGCTAAGGTCAAATAGTTTTTCTACACGTATACTTTCTTATCCTTAATCCTAACCCATTTAATGATGCATAAATTTTCTCATTTCTGTTTTGTTGAAGATAAAAGATTACTCATTTTTATGAGAAATCTACAAATTTTCGTAATTAAAACAAAAAAAAAAAAAACAGCTAAAACTTGAAAAATTAATTTACAATTTAACAAATAAATAAAAATTGAACAAATCATATGAACAATTTGAAGGCAAAATTTTTAAAAAATTATTGAAAAAGAAAAAAGATGAAATAAACCAATAACAAAGCAAAATTCATTATTTATTATTATTTTTTCCATTACAAAATCATAATTGCATACAAATTTTGCCAATAATAATTTTTAGCTGATTATTATAATATAACAATAATAAATCGACTTATAAAAATGGAAAAATTGAAAAGTTTTCTTTTTCTTTATGAAAGTAATAAATAAGAACGAATTAAGTAATTATTTTTTCCTATAATTACAATGATGAGAAAAATGTAAAATGTAAAGTACTATGTATCGATCGATTAGGATCAAAGATAAAAGAGCATAGTCAATTATCCACTTCAAAACATATTTGTTTGACCTCAGCAAGTTTTATTAAAGTACCTGTGATGCAAAAGCTGTGAAGAAGATAATCAAAGTAGTGCAAGAAAATAAGCTTTTAATTCTTTTTAATTACTTATGCATCATATCATCTTCACTGATAATCATTACTCTCAAATATTGGGATAAATCTAAATTTAAAATTGAAATTTAACATTTGAGAAAATTTATTATAAGAAAAGAACTATATCATTTCTCATTGAAACTTGAAAAGTATGAAAGTAGTAATGGAATGACATAGCTTTTCGTGCATTTGCTGGGATAAATTTGAATTTAAAATTGAATTTTAATATATTTTGCGAAATGTTTTAAAAAATTAAACGACATTTCAATAGAAATAATTAGTAAATTATATAGGCATGATAAATCTATGGATTTTGTTACACTTAAAGTATTATTTAAGTATTAATTAGAATGAATTAACTAACATATTAAGTTTTAAAAACAAATATTTTCTTACAATTACTACAGGAAAATGAAATAATGAAATGATAAAATTTAAAAATGGAATTAATTGCAGAATTGGTACACAACAAATACCAAAGATTTTAATTATTTATTGTACAATAATTTTTATTATGTTTTTTTATGTAGAAGAATTTAGAAAATTCACATTTCATGAAATCTCATCAATTCCCTTAAATTAGAAAACAAAAAGATTTCTTAATCCAAATAATATTTATTACCATTATGATATGTTAAGTATGAAAAATGAATAATTAAGAACTATTTGATAATTTTCTTTTTTATCATAGAATTTCTAAAAAGCTTTTATTTATGCAAAAAATATCACATACTGTGATAATTTGTTGAATGAAATTATATTCTGAAAATCTGAAAGTACTTAGGAATTGAAAATATATCGATAGAATAAGCAAAATAAGCAATAATTTAGATTAATTCAATAAATTAAATGCTAACCAGAAATTATAATATGAATTAAATTAAAACACTAATAAAATATTGTAATGATTTATAGTTGGAAGCTTTAGAAGAAGATTATATGCCCTTGTCTGAAATTATCGTATCATTTTATGCATTTTAGATCTATCTTTTTCATTTCACTTCTCAGTGTCTTAGTTTTTACAAACTGTTTTAAATTCGTTTCCTAATATATCTATCATCAACATTTTTAGCTAATGAATAAAATAGCTTAACGGCTAATGTTGGATGCCTTTTCCGGAGAGATAATCTGCCTTCCTTGGCTCATATGAAAAAATGGGCCAGTTTTATTCTTGAACTTTATTATTACTCACTGATACTTTGCTTGAAATTGTCGTGTTGTAGTCTGAACTGCGATAATTCAAATTACTGACAGGAATTGACATTAAATGTGAATGGTCATAAATAGTGAACGAACAGATTAGAAGAAAATGACATATGAAGATTGAAAGATATTTATCAGAATGCTTAAAAGGGATGTCCATCTGTTACAAAATTATTCAGTTTCACAGATTTTGTTGGTTTAATTATTGTGACTTCAACTGGATCGATAATAAACTCCTGCTATTAGCTAATGGAGAAATAATTTGGAAACTAATATTCTGCTTTTCAAGTAATTATTTTTTTTTTTTTTTTTATTGAAGCAATTAAAAATGAAACAATACTATACGTTACGACAAATAATAAAGGCAAATCAATAATAACAAAACTAACATATCTAACCAACAATAAACATATATTGATTATATCACCTCAAGAATTATTCTCTTCTGAACTACAGAACCATAATCGCTTAATTTGGCGTAGATAAGTATTCTCTTAAAAAACTCCCATGATCCAGCAAACCCAACCCTAAAGTAACATTTAATTTTTTTTTTTCTTTTTTTTCATAGAAACAAAAACTGAATCTAAAACTTAAAAGTAGCTTCCACATAATCTACTTGCACAATAATATTGGAATTCTATGAACAGAAATATTACACTTACTAAAATGTGAAAAGCTTTACGATTTGGGAGTTTCAATTATAAACGAACAATTTTAATTCAAACAAATGACTTAAATTAAAATCAAATATTCAGAAGTCATCAGATAACTTCAGTGAGTAGTTTGTTACGCCTTTCCTCAATTAACATTATCGCTTTCTTCTCCAAAGCCTTCTTTTCTTTCAACAATCCTTGCATAATTTTCTGAAACTCCTCGTGATCCTCCAATTCTCGATCATATTTTGAATACACCTGAATAAATGTGCAACTAAGTTCACTTTTGATGTACCTTGACACAAGGCCTAAAACTTATTTTAAAAAAATAACAACTCTTTAAACTTATCAAGTCGAGTTAAAGAGAAATAATTAAAAATAAATAAAAAATAATAAACTTTAAATTATGTGCCAAGAAGTAAATGCAATCAGGATGAATCAAAAAAAAAAAAAAAAAAAAAAACAAAACAAAACAAAACAAAACAAAAAAAAACAACAAAAAAGCTATTTCACTCATAAACCTCATATATGCTATTATAAACAAACTGAGTTCCTAATTTTCAGAATTTGAATTTGCAAACTTAGAAGTAATTTTCTCACTTTTCTTTTGTATAATAATATTGCAATTCTATGAACTGAAGTGTTGTACTTATTAGATGCTATATAAACTATGGTGCTAAACTAGCATATAGAAATATACTAAAGATGAAAAAAAAAAGACTTATACTACAAAAGAAATTTTAAATAGTACAAAACAAAATTCAAATTTACTTCATTTAAAGCTTTTTTATAATCATTCAGCAACTTTTTGGATGCAACATTCGCCATATGTTCACGTCGTTCACGTGTTATCCGGGGTAACGAGATGTACAATATAGCACCTTCCTGACGTGGAGTCACATTAAGTTTCGATTGTTCAATAGCAAGACGCGCTGGTTTTATCGCTGACGGATTGTCCGAGAAATCCACGGAAATCAACAATGGATTCACTAATTTAATTCGACCAAGAGTATTTAACTTGTATTGCTGCAAATTCTATTTTGATAAAGTTGAAACATTATCTGAAAGTTTCTATAATGTTGCTATTTGAAAAATATTTCGAAAATTTTGAACTTAAATTTAATTTTAGCAAGAAAAGAAAATAAAAAACCAAAATTTGATACAAACACTTCTGACATTTTGACTAGAACATATCAAAAGAAGATATTTAATCTAAAAAAATCTCAAAATGAAGATCACCTTTCCGTCCTCAATTTTCACCACAAAATCTTCGTATGTTCGCAAATCAATCTTTAGTGAAAGACTTTTAGTAAGTTCCTGCATGAAGATATCCTCTAAACTTTTCATTTCCTTCACTCCATGCTGTATAACAAAATCATAACTGTACGTCTTAGCTGAATCGTCGTTACTGCCACTAATACTATCATCATCAAATCCTTTCTAAACATAACAATTTCAATGAATATTTAAATTTTGAAAGTAGAAAAATTAATAGTAATAAGAGTGGTCATTTAATTTTGGTGATTCTCTTGATGACTCTAATGATTCTCACATTAATATTTTATCATAATACTAAGCACAATCTAAAAATTATTTTTCATCCTCATTTTCAAAGGTAATAAGACGGAATCTTTTCAATTTCATCAAATTTACGATCAATATGAAAATAATTTAAAAGTCAAGGTAAATATAGATATATCTTCTTATCATGTAAATGTCTCAATTCTTATCAAATTCTTCTAGGCAAAAAGTTAAGCCCTGATTTTTCAGCTAAATTAGTCGATAAATTTTATAATAGCAAAAAGATTACTTTATATCAAGTTTTTTATGCAACTTAAGCAAACAAAAATGTTAAATTTCAGATATTTAATAATTTAATCACAAAAATCATATTACTATTTTCACAGATAAACAATAGAATATAAGAATACCTACTACTTTTGCTTTTCGTTTCTTCTTCAGATACAGTGGTGAGCAGTGTAATTCTCGTAGTTGTGTTAGTTGACATAATGATGCACCACGATAATGCGTTACCTGTAGATATGTCTTCATCCCATCAGGTCTTATATCTAATCCATGTTTTTGCAAGATATTTGTAACAAGTTGATAATTAACAAATCTTTGCCATGAACGAAACATTCTAAAAAGAAAGCAAGAAAAATTATAGAGTTTTGAATCTCTTTGTGATTTTTTTGAAAAACTTATTTCCTGATAGCTTCAAATATTATTAAACAAATATCTTGTAATGTCACTTCACTTCTTCATATTCACATTACTGGAACTTTTAAACAACTCTACATATCTTTAATTGATTTCCATTTAAGTTAGAAGATGGACTGTTATGAGCAGTTAAAACTCAATCAATTTTTGATTAAATATTAGTCCAGCATTCTCTTTTTCGTAACTTATTATCCGAATAAGTTAAGAAGTTCATCGTCAAGTTACAAACTTTCAATACTCTTCTTCTTAACAACTACATTTCAGCAATAATCAAAGTTTGCATAGAAAACTAAACTCAAGAAACACTTACTTTAATTGGACTTTAAATATCTTTAAATATAAACCTTTTTGATTCAAAATTCCTCGAAAAAAAATGTACCAATCGAAAAGTATCATTTCAAATAAAGTTGTTATAGTTTTTTAATATATCTTGTAACAAACTGCAAAATATTTTACTGAAAGAAAAAGATGTAACAGTGAGTATTTTATTTTTCTTTCGCAAAAAAAAAAAAAAAAAAAAGAAAGGCACAATTTGAAATTTCAATAAAAGACCATTTTGAAAGGAAAATTCTCATTTGAAAATCAATGGACTGAATTTATATAAAGACAGACCTCGTATTTAAAATAGCAAAAAAAAAAAAAAAAAAAAAACAAACAAACAAGTCATTGAATAAGAAGAAAAAAAGCTGCTGAAGAAATCAGATATGCTAAACAGATAATTAATAAACAAATTATGAAAGAGACAATTGAGAAAAATTCATGGAGAATTAAGTAAACTTGCGTGAAAAGTCAATTCGCTCCTAAACTTTAAAACCATAAAGTAATAAAGCAAAAAATATGAAGTGAAAACAAAAAGTAAATAACTTTTGAAAAAAACGTAAGTAATACATCATGAGAGAAAGAAAGCGAGTAATATAAGCTACATGAATAAATCGCTTCGCAGGTTTTCGAGAATGAAAAATGCATAATTCCGAGAAATAATTTAACAACGCCTATTCGAAAGCCTTCAAGGAATTTCCAGCGAGAAATTTCAAATCCCTACTGTTAATATTGAAAGATAGTGAACATATGAAGCACGAAGTAGTGAAATATGAAATATTTCCAAACGATGAGATAGATGTCTGTGTTTATAAACATAAAATTTTTTAATTTTACTGAAAATTCTTGCTGTAAAATTTTTCAATTTCTAATATTAAAAAATGATAAGAAGTTTAAAATTTTTAATCGTTAAAAAAATTCAGAATCGGAATCCAATTTTTGAGAACTTCAAACAACCATGACATACAAAATTAAAAACTAAATTCAGCAAGAAAGCTCAAAATATTCCAATCTGCTGAATTATTATAATATATCATCGATGAAATACAACAAATTAACACACTATTTTGGTGTTATTTGTTTTCACATTTCACATAGAAATACATATAGGAGGTAACTTGAACTATATACGTAAGAAAAGACAATTACAATTTCCATATTTACTTTTGGGAAATACGAAAGTGCGGATGAAAGGTCAAGTTGATGAACATCATCCGACGAATATCCATCAACAATTTTCGATTATGCATTACAAATGATTCATAATTAATTTTGAAATTCCTGTAAAGCAATGAACAGATAAGAAATAACCAGAAAGTGTTATTCCCAATTCTATTAATATTGTATTGCTTACAGCTTTCAGTTTTCAAGAGATGTGCAAAAAGTGAAGAAAAAGAATATACAAATCAAAGGTAACTATTAATTGATAAGCGAACAAAAATGCTTATTAAAATTTCTCGAAAATTAGCCAAAAAAAAAATTAAGAATGCAAGAATACGCTAACTATACTAAGAAGCAGGCCTTGTACATCAGAGAAAACAAACCTGTGTAGAAATTTTTTACATTTCAAAGATAAAACAAAAATTTTAACTTTTAAATTTAATAACATGCTAAGAACGTATCGAGTTAACTCTGGCTCCTCTCTCAAGTATCGTACCCGTAACAGAGTGAAAATGGAAATTCCTCTAATTAAATTGATACTGGGATTGCAAAAAAAAAAAAAAAACAGCACCTTCCCAGCACTACAATGCATCATGTTGCAACATAAATGATATGCAATAAAAACTTGAAATGCATCATAAGACAAAATAACCTCAAAATCAAATTTCTTAGAAATTAGTCTCTCGATTTTTAGTTATTCTTTTTTTTTTTTTTTTTAATTCATCCATTATATTAAAATCTTACTGAAATTTCATGTTTCCCTATCTTTTAAAAATTTATTATCAAAAAGGAGTTTTCTTATAAAGCTATAATTTTCAATTTTTTTTTTTTTTTTTCTGGAGGTGTGTATATCCCACATTAATTTGAAGATAGCACAGATGAGCTGTTGAGAATATAATATCAATAATTTTAGAGGTTAAAAAAAAAAAAGGATAATTAACAATAGATCAGAAAGATAAATAATAAACAAGTGCAAGAGGAAACTTTTCAAATAAGATTCGAACAAAATATCGAAATCAAAAAGACAACTACTTCTTGAAAGTGATAGAAAAAATGCTTTGTTATAATTCATTAAATTTGCTAAGGCATTCATGAGTTTCGAAGTCCATCATGATCATTAATTTCATCGGCAGATTCAGAATCCGTTGTATCCGCAAAAGAATCAACCAGTTGCTCTTTGGCTGGTAAAGGTGCATAACTGAAGCAGAAAACTTTGAAATGATAAATTAAAAATAAATATTGGCAAAAACAAAATAATGTTTTTAATCGGATAATTTGACTTCCCTAACTGTATAATATGCCAAATTAAAATCACAAAGTATTACGAGCTCTGCTGAAGAAAGTTTAAGTTATATTAGTATCCAACATGCTCTTCTAGAAATAAGAAATTTAGAAAAAAAAAATCATTCATTATTATATCATTAGATGTATTATCATGTTTTATTTTATCCCGTTTTTCTAGTAGAATTACACTATATTAAAATACCATACTTAGAAGTGGAAAAAAAAAAGCTAAAAAGATGATTTAGTGAAATAAAATAGTAAGTGCTTCTACATAATACAGTATTTTGAAGATATTGCAAAAAACACCTTATAGCACTGTCACACTATAAACGATGATACCTGAATTACATAAATGACAAACAATGATAACCCAATTTGTGCACATAAGATCATTTAAGTTATGTCAATAAATATAATGACGAAGAAAAAAAAAAAACTTTTTGTGATATTATTCCGCTGATAAAATAATTGAAAAGAGTGCAATAACTTACTCGATGTTCCGATTAGTACGACTGGAAGAATTACCAATGCCAATTTTCATAATGAATACAACGACAACAATACATAAAGTTAGAAAAATAAGCGTGAAAAGTAATGTGTGAGAGAGTGATGAATGCGTTGTATGTAGTTGCAATGATAATGACGTGCAATCCTCTGAAATTTGAGAAATAATTTTAAAGCTAAAAATTCAAATCGATCGACAGAATTAACAAAAATGGCAAAGAAATTGTATAATTTCAACATACAAACCGTTAAATGACTCATGAAAGATAAGAAGTTGTGGTAAATCAAGACAAGAAAATGTGTCCAAAAGCAGTTAGAGATTACTAAAGAAGACCAGACAAACTTTTGCAGAAAGAAATGTGAAGTTATTGTGAAAGTTTGCTTTTGATTCCTTTATCCTTCATTTTGGCAACTTTTATTCTGGTAAATGCAACCTCATATACTTCTACTCTTTGTATATCTGTGAACTAAATTTATTTCAACTCGGAATGATAACAAAAACATCATTTTACATTAACTATCTGATGATGGATTCACAAGCTGATTCAAAGCTAACACTCGAATGTTATGATTCATTTACTAAACATGTATATAAACTAACCACAATGATAGAGCATTGGATCCTCGCCCACTCTACAGCACGGTCGACAATATCCAACCGATCTGTTACTAAAGTTTGTCGCACATGAATCGCACTGCAAAGGTCCAGGACCATGACATGTCCTGCATGCATCATCACATGGTGTACAAATAGAATTTGCTGCTTCATAATATCCAATGGAACATTTATTCCTTCTTAGTATACAACGTGCCTGTACTGCTATTGTATCTGTAGAAAAGTAATTTATTATATAATTTGTAAAATTGCTATCGTTTTAAATCACATCTATTCAAAAGCAAATAAATAACTGAATTTGACAATGGTTTCAAAATACTCTAATAATCGTTTAAAAAGCAAACATTCATCGACAAATCCTAAGTAAAAATGCAAATTTGAAATTATTGTTAAACAATTAGTTGGTAGTGCTTCACAAAAACAATTTTTGGAAAGGAAATGAGTCAAATTTACTTATATTTCAACTTTTAAATCATAAAGTAAATCTTTTTTCAGACAAAACTTCTGCTCTGATCAAAAAAGAAGCTTGAATATGCATTCTTTCCATATGCATTCTGTTTTGAACAAACAGACAAAAAGTTTCAGGCTCTTTCAGCTGCTTTAATCAGCAAATAATTTCTTAACTTGAGATTTAGAATTAATATTATTGTTGCTAACAATAATAATTTTCCTACAATACTTACAGTCCGGTTCGAGTTCAGGTGGACATGCATCAATGCACTGCCCATGATCCAAATGTCCATAATGATTTACATCGATTAAGAGTTGCGCACCAGGGCATGTTTCGCATTGCTCTGCTTTGATGCATGTTTTGCAATTCGGACTACATGCACGACATTTATTCCCTTCTAAAAAGTATCCCTCATCGCATCTCGCCACACATCTGCAATAATTAAATTTTGCAAACCAGAAAATAAAACAACAGCAGCAGTTATTAATTTCTTTCATTAAAAATTTATGAAATGGATATTTAGAGAATTATTTTTTGCTAATGATATAACAAACTATCGGTCAAAACAATTGTTCAACGAACTAGGAGAAATTTAGCAATGTCATTTGTAACTTAAACTGCACATTAATGCACCTGTTGATTGGAATATTAGTAACTCAAACTTATAATTCCTAGTCGGTCAATAATTCGATAATATTTTAATGATTTATTTGTAATTTCTGATCAACGTATTTTTTTTTTTTTTTTTTTTGCAATCATGATAAGATTCTTGGTTTAACTTAATAGAAGAGACTAAATTACGTCGATTTATTTCTAGCTTAATTATAATACATGTAGGTTCATCATATTATTAGGTATGAGCCAAATATGGAAGTTTAAATTTATTATCAGAGTTTTGATATTGTTTCAACTGAAAACTACAACTAGTGTAATGTGGAAAAAGCGTAATGTATTGAATTGATCCTCTAAAGCACTTATCATTATGCATCATACGAAAATATTTATTCATACGTAACACGACACTTACTTGAATCCTGCACGATTACGTAGGGATTGCGTAAAATGCCTGCAAGAAAAACAACTAACTGCCGATCGTGATTCCGTACATCCAATACATTCTGAATGACAATCTGGTGCTGAACGCAAATCACCAAAATTGGTTAATGTTTCAGTTGGGGTAATCTGAAATTTAAAATGATCATTTCTAAAAATCTTATGATAAATGAATACAATAAGAATTAGCTAACAAAGACAGAATTTAATATAAAAACATTTTATTAAATTTTGTATTTTACTAAGCAAATATCTACGAGAATTTTCCAATGTTTCCAATTAATAAATTCATATTATACCGAATAATTTTTTTCTTCTCGACAAACCCATAATATTAATAAATACTATTAATTAATAATAAATAATAATCAATCAAAATGGCAAGCAACAACAAAACCATCATCATACAGCAACTTCAGCTATTAATCGTGCTCAGAAAAAAAAAAAAATAAAAAAAAAAAAACAAAAGAAAAAGCGAAGTAATGACAATGAGAAGGGTTGGAGAAAGGAAATGATGCAAAATAGCTGAAAAAAGTAATCGAACGTTAAGAATACTCAAATATTTTAGTGCATGATGTTTTCTAGTGAATGCACCATTGCATGGTCAACATATAAGTGCAAGAAAAACAGATTCATTCTCCTGCAAATGACAATAAAGTCTTCAAAATCTTCAAAACACTTTTAAATAGATAGTTCGAAATTTGTCATTACCCATTAGATAGAATATATATATATATATATATATATATACCCTTTATTACTTATGTCGAACTTATAAACAAATGCTTAATCAAAAGATAATGAAGTAAAATGCGATGGTATACTGAGGCAAGCTAAACCAATCATTTGCTAATAATATTTTAAAAAAAATCAAATCTCATCTTAAAAAAAAGAAAAAAAATTGTTTGTGTAGACATGCAATATAAATTGGAATAAATTAAATGAATCATTAGACTGTAGAATGTATTATGTATTGTGTAAAAAAAAGTCTATAGTTATTTTTAGTCATTATTATCAGTAAAGTGATAAACAGGTGCTCTAGAAGGAAATCGAAAAATAAATTAGATTAATTGCTAATTTCATTTAACTAACTTTTTTTTTCCTAATTAACGATGCTAGAATGATAACTGTAAAGTGGAACTATTTTACTATCATAATTTCAAGTAATTAATCAATTGTAAATTTAATTAATTATATCACATCGACAAGATAAAATGAAGTACGTAGAAAATCATGCCACAAGTATATAACTGAAATGTTTAATAATATGTTTTCAAAACTTATATTCTTCTTCAAGAACTAAAATTGAATATCATAAAATATAAAAATTGACTTAACGGATCTTCTTAGTTTATTCTCTCTATTATTAATTACTTACTATTTTGTACAGTTCAACAATACGGATGTTAGAATTTCTAAAGCACTGATTCTTCTTATACGATTAATTTTTTAAATATCATAGTAACATATCACTTGTAAGATTCAAATCTCATTCTCTCAGACCAAATTTATTAATTATTAATTAATTAGTTTTTGAAAATGATTCATGCATAATACGATAATGTGTATGTCTATTGTTACTTTAAGATACATCCATTTTTGGAATATGTGCAACATATAGTGGCTTTCCTCATGATGGGTTCTTCCTACTTCTTAAATTTTAACAAAAAATAAAATTTCCTTTAAAAGCATGTGCAACCGAAAATTTGACGTTTACAAATCCTACGAAAAAAAAAAAAAACCTTAAATGAAAACATGAAAAAAAGAATAAGAAAAAAACAATGGAAAGACTACAACTACTTGTTATTTCCCTATAACATACTACGACTACAACTACCACTAGTAATTATGGTAAAAAAAAAAAAAAAAAAAACTTTCATTCAATTTTAATTTTTAAAAATATTTGCAAAAAAAGCAGTACGAAAAACTTGTCAAATCTAGAAGTGGAAAGATCTAGATTTCTCTCTAATTCGCTGGAATTCTCAATCAAAATTAAATATTTTTCAAAATATAAGATTTTTTGATGCATTCGTAGTATATCAGGGTTACAGCAAACGGTTTCAGATGCTTTCACTATAATAACACAAACAATTCAAAATTCACCATTTTATTCTTTACATAAGATTAAAATCCAATGCTTCTATAAAATTAAGCACAAAAACTTAAACACTACAACAAAATTCATACCAAACAGTTCAAATACACATAACTATAAGCCAATGGTCTGAAGTGAATTCCTCGTTTTATCTCGTTAGAAAATAGATTGCTTAAATTCGAAATTCAATTCCAATCCATTCACCAATTCTTCATCCTATTTGTAGTTGCCAAATATTGGTGAGACTTTCGAATACTATTAATGTAGCTAACTCATTATTACCATAACACACCAGATAAGCTCTTAAATACAACCTAAATGATGCTGCTAATTCTTATTAAAATTATTAAATGATTATTAATAAAATATATTGGGGATAATTCACACACAGATTATGGCTTCAAAACCGGGATTAATTTTACATGAATTACGAAAAAAGACAAAGTGCTTACAGGAAAATTCACTAATTCATTCATGTTTTTGATTTGCAATTTATAACGATCACACTTTTCTTTCCGGATAATTTTGAAAACTTTACGACTAATTTTATGTGAAATGATAAAGAAAATAGCCTTTCTCCTAGATTGTTAAAATCCTTCAATTCATAGTTTCGCAAATTTTTATGATTTTAACTATGTTATACATACCGCATAGAGAAAATGGAATGTTATAATTACGAAAAAAAAAGAGAACACAAAAGTGAGAAATAAGAGTTGAATGGAAGAGGAATACCAATAACCATCTGTCTTAATTAAATTTTTTAGCATTTATTATCAACATTTCTTAACCAAAATATGCTTTTTTTTTCAAAAACTTATTTTGAATGAGAGAATGCTATGCTTAATTCATTAAATAAACTATGAGAAAATGGCAGTAGTAAACTGATAAAGTGAAGTGACACACAACACAACAATATACAAAGGCAAATGATTGAAAAGTTCAGAATAGACATGAAGAATTTTTAAAAATTAGATTTCATCTCTCACAAATCTGCTTCATTTCATCAATTGATGAGAGAAACAAAATCTTTTACGCCCCGCATTATATCAAGAATATACATAAAAATAATCATAGAAAAACACTAAAGTGAATATAATTTTCGAATTAAAAAACCAGAAATTCAGGTACATTTTCCAAAAATGAGATAAATCTCCTTATTTGGTTACAAAAAAAAATCATTGAAGAATTGCATTCATACAAATAAAAAAGTTCTCCTCTTCCTAAAAAAAAAAAAAAAAAAATTAGTAAAAGGGAAATCAAAAAGAGTTAAGCATTTGGAATTCATTGAATTATGAAAAAATTCAAATATCAAAACTTGAGGAAAGACGATAACATTTGAAAAGAAAAAAATCATTTATGGAAAAACATAAAAACCAAGAAATTCAATAAAACTAAGCATATTTTCTAATAATATATGTCAAAATTATCAAGTATTGTTCGGCTTAGATGATCTGAAATTAACGATAATAAGCTAAGATCTTACCCAAATTATGGACAACATTTATTTGATAATAAGTTGAAACCTTTTTTCAGTAAAAACTTCTTTTTGCTGCATATTCAGCTCCGTTACTTTGAGTGGAATTTAAATCCATTAAAAAAATGAACTTAGATGTACATTCTAATCTAATGAGATAACAGATGAGGTTCAGCAGCTTACACTATTAACAAAATTTCTACTTAATAATCCACACTACTTATGGTTTCGTTCCTGTCACTAAAAGTACAACCAAGCAAATATATTTCGTTTCTTGCAATTTGAGAAAACACTTAAACAGTTTAAAATTCTCATTGAGACCTGAAATAAAGTAAATTGATCATATGACATTAGATAATTCTGAATTCTAACAAGAGTCTAAGCCGCACAAATAGCAAAATAAATCAGTTTGAAAATAAAATGAAGATGTAGTAAAATCTGAAATGATTAAGGAATTATAATACAAGACAAGGAAAAGTCATATATGAAATCACATATGAAACAAGAAAAAAGTTTCTCCGCGTCATCACAATTAATTGGTCAGTTTAGATATGTATAACCAGAAAGTGATGGAAAAACAATAGAGAAATTTAAGACATTGAGCAGATTTCAAAAAGACTGAAATGATAAATCAAGGAGAAAAATTTTGCAATATATTATAAATAGATGAAATAGGTGATAGCAGCTATACATCAATGTTATTACTTATTTTATCCAAATTTAATTTTAAATTTGAATAAAACTCTCCCCTCAAAGAGTAATCTTTTGATTTGTCCTCATTAAAACGAATAAAGTCCAATCAATGGTAATTCTGGTAAACTGGTACAAAGAATTCGAGAAATTTATTGATTCGAATTAAAAATTCAGCTTTCCTTGCCCTCTTTTCGCATTATGGCGTTAGACAGTTTTAAAGCTGCAATCAGAAAACAAAAGAGAACAGAGGACAGAAATTATAAATGATCTAAAAATTAAAATTAATTTTAGAAAAGTTCAAACAATTTCAAGTAAATTTTAAGAAACCACAGCTATCAATAAAGATCACTAACAACGGTGATAGTTGAGCTATCCTCAAAATATTAGAGCATTACAAAACACAAAAACGCATTAAAAAAAAAAAAAAAAAAAAGTTCCAAGATCAATTATTTTGTTAAACATAAAAGTAAAACTTTTTATGTAAGGAAAAAATCGATGCAGGAAACCAACGAACACGTATAGAATATACATGTCAAAGTCGGATACAATGACATCCCTAAAAAACCAGAATTTCAATATTACAAACATATAACAAATTTTACCTCCTCATCCTTCAATAGCTGATTGCGTTAGCAAAACAGATGGCAATATTTATAGCCATCATTTCCAGCAGTAAAGATATTTAAAAATTTTAGAGTAAATCACTTATTATTGCTTGTAGCAAAACTGTTGGAAAAGTAAAAGTACAAACAGAATCTTGCAGCAGCAAAGATTTGTTTGTAAGCCTTACAGCTCGATGATATGAAAATGGAGCTATTAAAAGAATGATTTTTAAATTAAAAGAAATTTTAGGTGACGGGAATCGATGAAGATGAAGGAGGTATAATGGCTGTCGTTGAAATATTACTAGCAAGAGAGATAGTAGAAGGTGTAATAGTAGTAATAGAAGTAGCAGTAGGAGTAATAGAAGGTTTCATTGCACGCCGACAAGCCAATACTGCAGCTAATGTAACAAGCAGTAAGACGGCCAACTGCAGTGTCATCAACAGAACCGGTAGTGAGATCTGTAGAAAAACCGTTAATTCAACCAACAACTTATTAATTAATTAATTACACACGATGTAAATGGTAGCATTGATCATAATTAACACACGAAATAAAAAGGCAAAGATATAAAAGTTTAAAAAATCATAAGATCCCATTTTTATTCATTATAGAACCTACTGATTCCGAGCGGTAATGCATCAAGAAGGAAAATTCCATTGAACATGCAATTCGGAGCACCGAATCAGTAATATCATAAGCGACCAACAGTAACATATTCAGTGAATTATTTCAACAATGCTAGATTATTTTAATAATCTCGAAAACTTGACCTAATACACTTTTTTTTTCTTGAAAAGTAGTTCACTATAAAATTATGTTACAGCAACAAATACTAGAAAGACAAATTATTCAGTCATTCAATTACTAGAAGGAAGAAATTACTTATACAGAATGTATCACCACCATTCAATTCTACTCTCGAATAATTTCATACTAAACATTAACAGTAACGAGCCACACTCACTCTAGCTTCATGCATAGCAAATCATCAAAACCGAAGTAGAATAAGTAAAGTGGTTCGCTATAAAAAGGTTTTATATAATACTAAATTTCTGCATAGTATCCGTGATACATTTAAACTATATACATTGAAAGATGTTTAAAGATTTGGAATTCAGACCCCAAATTTCAAGAAACATTTGAAATTATTATTAAATTATAGCATAGAGAACTGAACTTATTTGACAGCATAAGAGCTGGATAATGATTAATATCTGATATTATGCAAAACGGTACATATTCGCAAAAAATAGCAAACCAACTTTGACTTCTACTTAACTATCCTTTGATATCTTGCAATTCATGAAATCTAGCAAATTACAGAACTAAATATTACTTACCTTTTCAAATACAGTAAAAATTTAATTAAAAAGCATGCCTTCTAATTAAAAAATGTTAATTTTCGCGAAAAATGAAGATAATGGAATGAAACCACAATTAAAATAAAAAACACATGCATATTATTTCATGCGCATTATTATAGTTAAATGTCCAGAATTTAAGGTTCATTAGAAATTAAGAGATAAGTGTCACAAACAAAATCCTGGCAAAAATGAAATTTAAGCAAGTCAAGCTTACAAAAATGATAGTGGAATTTCCAGACAAATGATGTCTGAAATTTATAGCAAAATAATTCAAAAGTGAAAAATTGAAAAAAAAAAAAAAAAAAAAAAGCTACATGCATTATGTAACTGCAAAAAAGAATTTGCAAAAAGCTGCATGCAAATCTCTCAATTTTTTTAGTTCTTTTTGTCTATGACACAACAACCACGAAATTGCTGATAGTGTCTCATACCCGTAATTCTGGTGGAGCAACAGCCAAAAGCGATTTTTTATTCTCCACCTCTTCAGGTTGCCAATCTCTAGAATCACGTTGCTTTTGCATCATTTCCTGAACTAACGATAGTGAGTGATGATGACGATGACGGCAACACTGATGATAAGATTTCGTGACTATCTTTCATATTGTATAGCTATTTTCCTTTCCTTCAATCACTAAGCATATTTCTCAAATTACAGTAAATAAGAGCTTTAAAAAAAAAAAAAAATGCATGAACTGAAACAACAAAACTAAAAAAAATATTGTTAGAAGTGGTATTCCGTCTACATCATATACCATCCTATTATGACAACAAATAATTAAATCATCCAGTTCAAACAACCAAATAATTCTGATGATTCAAAAAAAAAAAAAGTTTCTCGAATTTTTTAAGAAAATAATCGAGCACAATAAAAATTATCATTCTGAAATGTCAATGCCTATTTGGATGTTTTAATTGGAATTCACATAAGCAAAAAGGCGTGTTAGACGTACGTAGAATTATTGCTACCAAGCTCCGCTGTGCACCTGTGCATAAGCAACTATCTTTTGTAAAAGCTACCATCACCTCCTTAATTTAGTAAAATGGAAAAAGAGTTGATTCCATATTAATTCATAGGGAAAAAGTTGTAAGGCTATTTTTTGAAAGACTACTTAGCTGTAAGGAATGCTTTAATGAAAGACTACCGTAGCTGTAAAGAATGCTTTAATCATTATATGATCAAAGAAATGAAAAAAAGGACTGCGTCCATGCACCTGTGATGCTATATGCTGAGTAATTCGATCAAATGGAGATTCGACTGAAGAGGGTGATGGATTTGAGGGATGCCGAGGATCATTTGGTTGAGCAGGTTCAGCCGTACCATATAACAACAGCGACCAGTCGTGGAACGTTCCTAAAAATGGTCAGCAAATAAAGATATACAAATGTTAATTAAATATAAGATGCAATACAAAGTAAAATAGCAGAGAAGTACTTTGAAATAAAGTACAGAAATGAAAACGCGTGCATGACACTGTAATTTACTGAACGAACAATTCTGAAAGTCCAAAAAATTTGCAATTTATGATGAAAAACATATGATGACAACAACAACCTCCAATATTTCTATTCGTGCTAACAGATTCCACCATCAAAGTCCACGTTCCACGAGGATCTTCACCCCATGTTTGAACGGACAAGAAGGGCCACTTATGGATACCATTCGAATTGAAATCCTGCAGCAAATATTTATTACTGAGCAGTAGTTGATAGACTAAATATTAGGAAATCATCTCCATGAAATGCAATCAATCATATGTTAACTCAAGCTGATAACATAATTAGCATGTAATAAAAAAAAAACTGCAGTTTCTGAACCTTTACGTGTGGGATAAAGAAAAAACTGTTAGAAATAAAATATTTTTTATTTTTTCCTAATACATAAGGTTTATAAAGCAAACCTGTGGACGAGGTGGAAGCAATACAGAAGAGGTACCACGTGGCGAAAACAGTGTGAGTTTCAGGTCGCCCCTTTTCCCAAAGCGAAATGTTGCCAAAACTTGTACATGCTCGAGATAGAGAACTGGTGTACCAGATTCACAACCACCTACTTCCAGTGAAAAATTCATTTGAAAACTACCCGTTATTGGTCGCGGACTGAAAAGAAAAAATGTTATACGTTTACAAGAAACAAGTTTAATTCTTTCCATACAGTGTCATTGCAAATCACTGCAATCGAACTCTTCTACAGTTATAATCATCTTTAAAAAGTATTGGAATGAAGCTCACTAAGTTTGCAGACAAATTAAAACAACCATTTCAATGCAACCAACTTCTTAGAAATCGTCATCTCTCTTGCAAGTATTATTATCTTCATTTCATGTTTACTATTCAAACTACTTGCATATCGCGATCTTAAAATTACAGAATTATCCAACTTACTTTGGCTTCTCTAGCTTATAGTCATATGTACAAATGTGTTGTTCTGGTACCGTTTTCCAGATCAATGCGAGCTTTACCAGTGCTCCGGCATCCATCAGTCCATAACCAAATTTGTTGTTAATTCGTCGTCCAACCCCATTCACCGACCAGCCTGGATTATTCAACAGTGGTACTGGATTGGCTGTCCGCAGTACAATATGTTGCATGTCGCGCCATGTCAAATTTGGACTAAAATTTGATAAACTGAAGAGGGAATTTCAGGATGTTCGGTGTTATTCAAAATAAGTGAATTAATAATTTCAAGAAATATACGCTTGCTTAGATAAAATAAATGGCTTGACAATAACAAAATTATTACTAAACATACTTTAAAACATTGTAAAATTATCTAACTGCAAGCTATTTCTTAATTAATGACCTATTACTTCTTCCGTCGTTCAGCTTCAATCGATCATACCGAAAACTGACGATTATTTAAGTATCTATTGGAGTATTTAAAACTTACTTAGCTTCCAATGCCAACGCAATAATACCCGCTGCAATTGGAGCAGATGCACTAGTACCCGTATGTGAACGAGTGCAACCGTGTGGTACATCAACTGTTATCTGAAAACTTAACTTAAGGTTAACAGAAATTAATACTTCTTTAATCTTTAAGAATTTTCTGAGTTCTTCAGACATCAAATTCAAGAATTAATCTTTAAGAAATTAATGCTGTTATGCTCAATGTATATAATATCACTAACAAGCAACATGCTGCACTAAATATCTAAATAAAATAATTCTGGCAGAAGTAGTGAACTTGTAATGGAAGAATGCACCTTATACAATCCAGTAAATCTATTTTATAATCATACCAAGAATGGACTTTGTAGGAGAATCATGAAATGAAAGCACTGAAATCTAAAGTACTCACAACAGCCGGTTGATTCATATTAGCACTGCTATATGTTGTAGCGATGGTTGATGGACACTCTTCCAAGTACCATGGACTGCGATTATCAATTGTCGCCGAACTAACACTGAGTGTATAGACAGATGTCGTATAACCATCAGCAGAGCAGCTATCTTGCCTGCAATATAAAATAAAAATTTACTCCTCCCGGAAATACTTTTAGCAATCAGATTATTTTTATTACTTTCATCTTTATATATAATTATTCATTAAAACTTTTAAAATCAAATTTAGCTGTTTCCAAGGTTCTTAATATTTTTATTCGAATTTAAATCTTTTACCTTGAACCACCATTACCACTGGCCCAAACAAAAATACTTCCTTTACCATCACGTCCTACTCTAACACCGTGATAAAATGCTTCTCGAGTTAACGGCCCAGGACCATCAAACGTTCTTCCATCATCTTCAGGGCCCCAACTCGCCGAATAAATATCAATATGATGACGATTAAGAGACAGACTTGCTGCTTCAACACTGAAGTGAAATTAATTTGACAAGTGAATTTCCGAAGATACGCGATTACCTGGTTTCATAAAATACAAGATCAAATTGCAAATACAGCAAAAAAATTTCCGAAATTCTTGTCATATTTATCAAACAGAAGGAAAATCTGAATAAACTCAATCGGACATTTCATTCCATTAATATTACTTTGATAAGAAACTGAAGGTATTTATTAGAAAACTTAGACCTCATTTTCTCACCAAAATAAATATATGCCAATTTTAAAATAATCTAATTTGCATCAAATCTTATTTAAAAAAGCATGATTTATTCATGAATCTACAGATAATTCAATAATAATGAGTAAACTAAAAGTAATCCAACAAATGAGCAACGGTTATTTAATATCCTAGTACTAAGCACTGAACAAAATTGATTGTGCTTTATTTTGATTTTATTTTCAACTGCACTTTAATCCATTAATCCTATCATTTATTTATTTACCTATCGCTCACAGGACCATCAAGCATTCGTACACCTCCGATTTTTGCATGAAATGCAACACCGACACCACAGTATACATTCCCAGCAATTGATGCAACTTCACCTGCACAACGTGTACCATGCCTGCAAGCATTAACGATTATTCTATAGGATAAGAATGATTATACCAACTTAGTGGAACAAATTAGTTCTCATAGATATTTTCATCACATCAGTAATTATGCATACTCCCTAATATCTGAATTTAGTTCGAATTTAAATTTGATAAACTTATTTGAACAATTTATTATAGTTGTTCAAAAAAAGAAGAACAGCTGGCAGTGTCGATGCAGGATAACTTCTACGCTAATCAAATAATTCGGTTTACCGATAATTCAAAAATGGGTTAACAAAAATTAATACATTAACTCAACACATGAGCATAATCATAACTCTTATTTCAAGTTACCAGTAATATGTATATTTTAATTGGATAAATATGACAATTACATTTTTATGTGATTTTATTATCTCGTTTTTAAGTCTTTGAATTTTTTTTATCAAAATCTCAAGATTTCACTATATTATTTGATTCACTCTAGAAAGATACTTCTCACCCATTTACTCCACTGATTTACTTATCATTTTAATTTTGCCTCGTACTGTGCATATTTGTTTGTCAATTTTCTCATTTTTTCGTTTCTTTATTCAACTTTTCAGAATAACTTACTTATTGTCACCATCATCTTGCGGAGTTGGATCATCATCATGACCATTAATATCCGTACTTGCCAATGGATCATAATTTGCTGCCAGATCCGGATGATCTCGCTGTATACCATCATCTAATATTGAAACAGATACATTACGACCAGCATAACCTAATAACCATGCAGCCTGCACATTCATGTCAAAACCTCCCTGTGCACCATTGTTCTGCAATACAGTACTTTAACATTTTTTTCGGATAATTATCATATTCTAAGCAAATTGCAAGAAATATCATTTAGATCTCTCTTGATATCTTTTCCGATTAAAGAAACTTTTTAATATAAATATCCTTTATAAACTATAAAATTTTTACTATAAATATCCTTTATAAATTTAAAAACTTTAATATTACCAAAACTCCTAGCTATGTGCAATTCACAGAATGAAAAGATTTTCGCATACAACTTGACTCAATCTTCTTTTAAACGTCAAAGATATTCAGAAAAGAAGAGAAAAAAAAAAAACCGCTCTCTAAATCTGATGAGTACTTAACAAGATTTTTTGGTAAAAAAGAATCTTTTAAAGTCTCACAGATCCTGAAAGCAATGGGAATTAAGTGATCTATGCTAAAACAAAACAAAACAAAAAAAGACGCACAAGATACCACTGCTCCTTATACAGCGGATCTGGAAATGGCAAAACAGGTACATCACGTTGTATGGAATTAATACGCTGTTCAGCATTAGCTATCGATTCAGCACGTTTTACAACATTGATGAAACCACTATCACGTTCATACACGGTATCCGAATAAACAAAATCACGTTTTCGCCTTACCCTGAATATTTTAGACATTGAGATTCAACAAGAAATCGGAAACTAAATCTCTTAAAAAAAAATTATGCCATGTCTTCTTGCAACTGTGAGTAATAAACGAAATTTATTTTTTTCAAAAAATAATCAATTAAAAACTTAAAATACCTCGGCCTTTGTTCTTCGATCAACAGAATATCAGGATGCTCTTGCAATCTTGAGATTATTTCACGTTTTTGTCGCTTTGAACGTTCCTTTTGTGAATGAATAACAAAGTAATATGTGCCGTCTAAGAATGGCTTACCCTAAAATTAAAATAAAAATTTTCTATTTATTTTCTGAATTTAAGTTCAAAAACTTAGTTTTCCAAAGAACTCTACTTTAATAATGCACAATATATAAAACCAAAAGTCAATAAAGTGACTGACAATGATGATCTGAATCTTTAATGGACAATAATATGACTGAATTTTAAGAGCCTTGAAAAATTAATTCGATCTTTCAATTTTTTGATACTATTGAAATGGATAGGGTCTCACATGGAGCAAAAACAAGAAAAAGATGGATATATCCCAAAATTCAGAAGACTCCTCTTGTATCAAACATTCGAATTCATATTACTGTTAAATATTAATATCAATTTGGATAAATAACACACTAGAAAATCTCGGTAGTTACTTACTTTAATTTCCAAACCATGTTGTTTCGCAATTAAGTGAGCTTTTTTGTCATTTCTTTCACGAAGTCTCATGATTGTATGACTTGGTTCCGGACAAGCACCATCCGCTGTACATATCGAATCATGCTCAATGGCCAAAACTCTTTGCAAATAACCGAATAAAACGAATATTCTTGCTAAATGCCAAAACATCCTGAAAAAGCGCTGAATGCATATACATTTTTCGAAGTGTTATAAAATTTGTTCATACGTGAATGGAATTGTTTTAATGCCAGTGGAAATTAAACAATTTAACTCTCATTAATAGGTAGGAAAATAGCTTTGGATTAATGAAACCATTCAAATAAATCTCCACTGATTAATATTTTCATGATGAATGTAAATGTTCGTATAGAATTTATTCTTTTGTTTTATTTTAGTGATGATTGTATGTGTTGTTGGCACAGAATTCATTATTTCTCTTAAGTATGACATGATAAAGTATGAAGTAAGAAAAAACGATATGTTGAGAATCATTTACCTCGTCGTTATCATTTTACTATATTAATTTACCTGATGACATCACGTAAATAAAAGGTCATGCAAAATAAATGGAAACACCATTATTATCAATCATTCAAATGAATACCTTTATAAGACAACTAATGCGAATGGCAGTCCTGATGAATTGACAAAATTTCATTTTGTTGCCAACTTTTTTGAAAAATTATTTCAGCTCCCTCTTTTTTCCTCAAGCTCACTAGCCTTAAAAGCCTGTATTGAGCTCAACTAGATCCTCTTCCCTTATTGAAGCATGAAACTCGATCACCGATTATCCTCCTCAACTGTAAATGTAACATTTCTTATATCACCAAATTTCATCTCACTTGTTGAAACTATCTCCTACAATTTCCAAAATATGAAAAGATCTAGTTCAAAAACTATGCCCTTTTCACATCATATTTTTTTAAGAAATATTTTTTTTTTTCTTTTTATAAAAGATTATATTGAAAAAAAAACTTTTGACATATTATAAAATGTTTCTCTTTTTTATGAAATAATCTTTGACATATTATAAAATGTAATCTTTGAGATATTTTATAATATCTGTTTCTATATTATTTCAAAAAAAAAAAATCACCTAAAACTTCACATCAAACATGAAAAAGACAGCAAAATCAAAACGAAATAACTTTTGTCCATTGCTACCAAGCAACGAAAGAGTATTTTATTATATCGCAGCCGATAGCAAGCTAATATATGTTTTATTTCTTACGCACTTGGTAAATCCGAACCTACGCTTAATTTTAATTATTATTCTAAATTATCTATCATTTATTTTCAGGTTATTTTGCTTCGTTCAATAGCATGTTTATTCATTGCATCCGGTTTAGCAATAATTACCCAAAATTACATAATTATTAAACCACTCCATAGCTTACGTACTTAATCACAACTTTATTGGTTACAACATTTGTTAGAGGGTAGTGACTTAAACGACATTTGAAAAATTGAAAACAATAATCATTACACGAAACTTGATTGAAACAAACGACAAAACAATGCAAACGGTAATCTCAAAAAAGATTATTTTTATTTATCGTTTTTTTTTTTTTTTAAAAATTTCAACATTACTTCAAATCACTTAAATAAAAGAAGAAAAGATCAATCAGAAAAAATCAAAAAGTTAGGAGAATTTGTTTTGAAATAAATTTTCCCAAGATGTAAATAAGGTAAAAAGAGGAGAAATTCTCAATTCGAAAGCAATTTCCTATTTTCCAGCTAATTTCCCAGAAATCTTTTATAGCGGACTATAATGCTGCAGTAAAAAAAAAAAAAATATTAAGACTTGAAGAAAAAAAAAATAAAATAAATTCATTGAAATTAAAAAAAAAAGTATTTGTTTAAAATGTTAGCTAGTAAACATCCGTTCTATAATTGAACTGTTACTATGACTGGGCTTTTGACAATGGAATAAGATGCATTCATGAAAAGCTATATATATATATTTTTTTAATTACCAATAAAATTTAAAAATTCCTACAAGAAAACATGTAAGTTTATAATAAAATGTGCAATGCTCATAAACCATTTCACATATAAAACATGTAAGTTTATAATAAAATGTGCAGTGCTCATAAAGCATTTCACATATAAAACATGTAAGTTTATAATAAAATGTGCAGTGCTCATAAAGCATTTCACATATAAAACATTACACCTAAACTATAAAAGGAAATGAAGTGAAGAAACTTGAAAAATATTCATCTGTTATAGAATCATTGAATTAATAAAATAAGCATCACATGTAGACATGCTTAAAACATATCTCACCCCTAAAAACATGAACTCCCTACACATATAAAATTGAAATTTCATGTTAACATGTAGTACATGCATGCAGTACAAAAGCCATTAATTAATCAGATTTTCACTACTAATTTCTACGATAACAAGGAAAAAAAAATGCAATCTCATTCTTCATCAAATTAAAAATATTAAAGTAAGTATGCAAGAAACATTCACAAAGAATAAATTTTATTTCGTGTGTGAAAGCAAAACAGATACGAACGCACATATATATATATAGAGTAGACACAAATACTCAACCGTGTAAACAAGTGACAAGTCAAACAAACAAGTTTCCAAACTTTTATCATACCATCCAGTAGCTTTATCATCCCACTAATTAATTGCACTTCGCTATTCCTACGTAGTACTTTCACTTGCAGTAATAAGAAAACTAGTATTATTATTATTTAGATGCAAGCCATTAGCAAACGTTGATAGCGATAATGTCAACTGCAGTACACTAAGAAACGATAAATTTCACTTAAATATGGAAAGTAACAATTTTATTTTGAAGGAACATTATTTTGAAGAAATTTCCATTAATGAGGTGTAACACATATAGCTAAAATACCGTAATGCAAAAAAGTATCCTCAAGAACAAAAACGGTAAAGAAATCAAATAAAATAATAAACTTGGAAACTTTATATGATAAGCCTATAAATTTACCTATAAATTTCCCATTACATTATTACATCTAAATTTTATTTCGAACTTTCATTTAAATGTTTCATTAATTCTAACAAATGAATTTGTCATAACTAATCACAGATTTTAAGTAAATCTAAGAATAATAATTTCACCCAAATCTCATCATGCAAAGACCTCCAGATATAACTGTCCAGATGTAATTGAATATTTCACTTAGAAATTCAGCTATGAATTTCAGTCTACCAATTGTAAATTTCACCTCAAAATAAATCTCAGTTCTATCTTAGTTGTGGTTCAAAGACTTACATGCTTACATCAGGAATTTTTTGAAGAGTGATATTCTAAATTATTAGCAGATGAAACAAAATTTCGAAAAATATGCAAGATATTTATTCCTGGCACAGCAGCGAACAACATTAATTCATCATCAACCACCATATAAATGCCTCAAAATCAGGCAATCTATTTACGATTTGTGATTACTGTTCATTACTGTTCAGTTATTATTCCCATTCAAAAATTCTGCTTTATTCTGATATTTTAAAATTAAATCAGCTAGAGATGCTGGTATTTCAAACTGTTCTGAACCATGTCGTTCATATTTTTTTTTGAAAATTTTACGACAATATTTTCAGCTTATATGCATATAAAGAAACTAATAAGAAACTTATATGCATATAAAGAAACATATAAAGAAACTAATTGTTATGCCAACAAATTTTCACTTTAAAATTTATTTTTTCTTCAAGCAATTCATCTATCTTCATTCTTCTAATCTCTATTTATCAAATCGCAAACTAAGCTAACACCTTCGAATCTTCTAATCTGCAATTTACGTAAGGTTAAAAATTCTGTAACTAATTTCAACTTGCATTTTCTATTTCATTTCTCCAAGCCTTTTTTGTAAATTTCTAAACCTCAAAGTTTTCCAGTTATTTCATTAAAATATTACATATAATTCTACTTTACTGTTGTTAATAGTCACAAGGCAGTTTCATTATATCATCATACTGCAAACACGATGTCGTGCGAGTTTAATAAAAATATTTGCTTTAAAAAGCAGTATTTCCTAAATTTTGAGGACAACTGAAATGTAATAAAATAAATTGAAATATCTATTAAACAAAATGTAAAAAAAAAATACCAGAATCAATTTTTTATAATTAATATCATCTAAATGGATATTTAAAAACATATTTAAACATTTTACACCATTCCTAAATTACAATAAAATTAATAGTTTACAAACTGAGAGAAATAAAGGAAAAAACTTGACACCTTTTCAATGTTGATGATAGCACAGTTGTAATCCTTGATGAATAATGCACACACCTGATGCACAATGAATGAACAAGGAAGGCAAATGAAATTTGTTAGGAAACCAAATATTTGAAACTTGACTTAGCAAATAATTGTAGCAACAGCAGTAGCAATTCGGCATTTAAGAATAGAAAGTAGCAAAGGCAGCCGACAGAATTGTAGTTGCAGCAATAAATACTGTTAAGTAAACGTGACTCTGAATGGACGCTCCACTAACGTTTAGGTCATATTTCCTACTCATTTTCCGCTTCAACTGATCCTTTTTATCAATTTAAAAGAAAAAAAAAAAGAATGGATAAATGCGTTATTTCCGTATTTCTAGTTTTAGTCTGCTTTCAGTAACCGGAAACCGTAACGAACTTGGAAATATTACCCACACTAATATATATGCACTGATATGCACACAAATATACTGCTACTGCTGTGCTATTTTCCTTTTTTTGTCTGAAGTGAAGAGCCAGTCGCTAGCTGAAATTAGCAGAAATTTTAAAAGTTTGTCACTTCTGGTTTTCTTTGTCGTATTCATACAAAAGAAGGATCACTAGAATATGGGTAAAATAATTCAAACAAAACTGAAACGAGGAAAAGTCAAGTAAAAGACATGTAAACAAAAAAATGGTACAAAAGAATCTCTTAATTAGGAACACTTAATGATGTTCCAATATCATACAAGAATTTAATGTTAAAGATTTGAGTAATCTTAACTATATAAAATGAAACAATTCCCGATTACTTTAAAATAAGCAAAAATACTATGAAACAATACAATAAGCGATCATCTTAATAAATTTATAGCAGTTAGTGGTGTAAAGATACGAACTTTTTAAATTAACTATTAAATGACTGTTCCATTAAAGCACTTGACAATAAATTGAAAAAGCAGCTGTTCCAG